TTCCTTTCCGCGTCAAGTGCAGAATAATATGAGCGAAAACATGGACAAATATAACCACGGGAAGTGCATGCAGTTATATAACATGTATTTTTTTTAAAACAAGCTTTGTTTTTTTTTTAATTTATTTTTTGGTTCTCAGTGGGAAAAATAGCATATCTTTGAAAAAATAGTATTGTATAAAATGCTTTACGAGAGATATTTGTTCGTTTTTAGTCCAAGGAGTAACGAATCTACCCTCTTTCACTCTTCAAAATAAGTTTAAAAAATAATTTTAAAAAATCTTCAACCTCCTTGTGCACCCCATTACTTTCACTTTTTTGTAATAAAAAACTATTTTGTATTTGACAAGTTGCTTGTTGCATGAAGAAAGAGATAACTGCAAACTTATTTTATTTGGCTGTGTATTCTTTTTAGCGCCTTCAATTTTGCGGAGAAGAATATTTCTGCTAATTCAAGTAAATGCGCTTTATCAAATCTACACTAACTAGTTCAAATTCAATTTCCGTCAAATGTCGTAAACGGTGAGTATAATACACTTACAGTAACCACCATAACATAAAACGGTCATTCGACCACAACATTAAATGGCACATTGGTACCGACAACCACTGCTATAATCTATTTTAATGGAGAGTACTATGCCGGTGAGTGATGGTACTCAGACGTATTCTGGAAGGGACCACGGATAGACACAATACTGAATAGGCAGAGGTGGTCCTCTATCAACATGAAGAAGTTTCCTTTAGTTTGCTTTTATGTGACTTTGATACTATTTGGATGCTCAAAACTCTCAAATGGTATGTCGAAGAAACACAAAATTTACAAACTATTTGTTTTTTACAAATGTATATTTCTTGATGAGAATTTCCTCCTTTTTTTAGCAGTAAAAATATTATCTTTTAAAAAAGAGACGCAACTCGATATAAATTCCAAAACCTATTTTTAAAATAATTTTGTACAGGTAATAGCAGTTATGGACGAAAAATTTTTAAGGATGTATATTTATCCAAAATCAAAACATTTTCCCCTTATTACTCAGTACCTGCCTCTCACGGTAAAAAGTGATATTTATTTAGTTTAAAAATTTTCATATAAATTTTTGAAAAGTCATGCATGCTAATTTATCATAAGAGGGAACACGTAACTTAGAGGTGGAAATAATTTATGAAACGTTCTAGAAATAATGAAATTTTTCATAGCGTAAATGTTCGGGAATTTTTTTTTAAAAGACTATTTCTCCTTTTTACACAACAAAAACTTCGTTCTTTTGGAAAGAATTATAGAGGGAAAAACCGCTGTAATTCTTCTGTATGGGAGATAAAAAATTTAAATTTCTTGATGATGTGTATCTTTAAATTACGCTGTTTTTAAACATTATTTTAATACAAGTTTATCTTTTTTTTTTTAAATTGACTGAAAATAATAAGATAATCAAATCGGTCAACATTTTGGAAGATTAAAGTGAGGTAGATATTAAAAAATGGAGAAAAAAGTGCAGGAAATGAGCATGAAAAATTGATATCTATATCAATTTTAAGCGAAAGAGACTGGATGAAGTATCCAGTATAACTATAAACAAATACTGACTTATCGGTCTTCGCTTTATTGCTACTCCAAGGGAAAGACCGTGCAAAATGACGTGGTTTCTGAAAATGTAAAATGAAACAAAAATAGGAAATCAATTTCTTCTTTGGGGATTATACGGCTTTAAAAATGAAAAAAAAAAATGCTATCTTCAAAATGGTACCGAAGCTTTCTAAATCAAATTTAGAATGTTTTTTCAATGGGCATTTTACTTACTTATTCATCCACATTCTTTACAAAGAGCTTACTTCTTTTGTAGGCCAGAACCCGCGGCAGATGATGATGTGCCCGTTAACCTTCCTTTGTCCGTGTGTCTTCTCTTGTCCTGAATATGGCTACGCCATGGGGTACTGCTACCCCTTCAGAGCTATTAAATGTTGTCCGTTCTGGGTGGTGAACTTTTGTGCGCGTTCAAGATCCTTCTACGATCCTTAAAGGATCCAAGGATACTTTGACCTTGACTAGGTCTTGGACATGTGATCAATACCTTACATTGTGAAAAGACGAATTTTCTTTTAAATGGGTTTATCAACTTTATTTTACACATTCGTATGCAACTTGTTTTTAAAATGGACCTGTTTGGGAGGAAAATTGCAATGATTTCACATCCAGTAGAATTGTTCGCTGCCCAAGTTAATAATAGTTTCATCTTTATCATACAATCGTCATCATGCATGCGTCATATTTCCTTGAAGGATGAAAAAAGCACACCTATAAGTGTCAATAGGGTTTTTTAGTGCAAGTCATTAGTGTAAATTAATCACAATGCAGCAGTTACGACTTGTAAAAATAATCTGTGGTCAGCGGATTAGCATATGGCGACTCTGGTGCAACAGTGTTGGTCAAGATTTGTTATTTTTGTACAGAAGATGTGTATAAAAGGGGACAGTCCGCTAATCCAATGAGGTCGACCGGGTTCAAGGATACATAAAATATTATATTACAAATCTCCAATCAGCTATCGAATTATTGGTTATTTGCAAAAGTGATTTTGCTGTTTAAAAAAAATTATTTTTAGGCCAGATAAAATTAATCTTTAAATTCTTATCCCCGCCCGCCCCTCTCAAAATGTCCCGCCCAGGTGTGTTTTATTTTGATTGTTGGATGTTAATAAAGGATGTATTTTTATTCAGTAAGAATTAACTAGGTGAAGTTTAAGAGTTATCTCCCGTCTGTATTAAAAGTCGCGTGTCGCTATATATTTATAGCAAAAGAGCCCATGTGAAGAATGGAGAAAAATCGGCAATAAAAGCAGTTTAAATATGTAAGGAAAAGATTATTTGTCAGTATAGAGAAGGCAGAGGAAAAATTATAGCATAAACACATCTAGATACCATCGTACTGCCATTCATGAGCAAGTTTTTAAAGAATTTTTAAAACTAAGTATAAAAATAGAAATGGAAAATGACACCTGGTCAAGTTTAAACGATCTCCAACCAACTGTGTGTGATTTTGATTAAAAAAAATAAAACATCGTAGGCAGGCTTTAGAGAATGTTTAGTGCTAAGAAAATGTTAAATATCAAACCAGTTCAGGCCTCAGTTTTTTTAGTAGGATATTTTATTAGAATATTTTATAGATTTTGTAATATGACCTATTTTATTGTCGAACTTGTCAAGTCTCAAGAACGATCCAATTTTTGAGGAAAGTGGAAATCTATGATATTTTACAGAGAACAGAGGGATTTGTAGGTAAAACTAAAGGGTCTCTAGGGAAAGGCCGATGAGAAGTCATGCATAAAAAAATTATTGATATCAGAACCCCACCTCATTTTGTTTTGCGTGTGCCGTACGTATACGTGTACTTGATAATTTGTTAATAAACAATAAATATTTAATAATTTAAGCAAGAATTTTCTTTAAAATATTTAAAAGAATACGAAAAAATAAATCTATTCATATTGGCATTAACATAATGAAAAAATGTGTACGAAGAGTCCATGTTTTGTTAATACTTACAATTTAACACTTATAAAGAATAAAAAATAAAATCCGCCCACCCGCCCCAATTTTTTAGCAAATTAGGATGAGAATCTAAAGATTAATTTTACCTGGCCTTATGGAGAGTTTTTAAAAATACATGTACCCAGTACATTGTAAACTTAGTTTCATCTGTAAATAAAGATTTTTTAACAAGTTTCAGAATCTACTGGTGATTTTATCATAAGATTGCACGAGTCTGAGAAGAGTATGATGATACAACATGCATGTATACATGTATGTGGTACAAGAACATCAAAAGTTGATCAAACTGTTTTTCATTTTCTAGATAAGGATACCATATATACAATTATCCTTTATATAAACATGTATTTACCTAAAAACTTTCATTGAAATTCTTGAACTCAAAACTTTGCATTGAAATAAGTAAATGAGTATTGTAAAGGAAATTCTATGATATTGGCAACTCATAAGCCAGGACAAGTATGGATGGATCTTTGTGGTCAAAGGCAAGTTTTCTGAGCCTGTTATCTTATTCCTCTTATCAACAACTATGTAAAATTTTGAGGCCATTAAGAAACACCTTGATTGAAAGGGAAGTGATCTGTCTTTATGCGAACTAAGAGTAATGATTTTAACATTAATATGTAACCAGCCTTTCAAAACATGATTCTAAATGCATTGTAATACACAAAGAGTTTGTATTTTTATGTTTTTTTGACGGACACATATTTGAAAATTCATGTGTATAAATTATAAAGGGTGTTAAGAAAGTTCAAACCACATTTAACTTTTATTTTTCAGAAGAAATACGATGAGAAGAAATTTACAATTTGTGATATTTCAAATTTATAGAGTCCATTCTTGCTGCTGATAGGGTTTTTTACTGTCTTTTGTTGAATCAATAAGGGGATGGCAGGTATTAAAACAGATGATGTCTGTGCAGACAATTAAGGAATTACGCATATTTGTGACAAGTATTAAGCAAACAGGTCAAAACATCCTTTCCAATACTGTGCAAAAATTATCAAGTCAGTGAAATTTTTCAAAATGACAAACCTATTCTTTTGAAAAGTGATCTATCGTTCATATACCTATGCTCATCAGCTTGTCTGACGCAAGATAAGCTGTGATGAAACAAATGTAAAATTATAAATATTGTCAATCAAAATGACCTGCATTTCTATCATTCAGATGCTTTAGAGATGTTATATGTATTTTCATATGGAAGAACAATCCTATAACTTCCAGCTAGAAATGAATTTCTGTAAATTTAAAGCACATTCTTGTGATTTTGTCAGAAAATTCATCTCTTTAGTTAAGCACTACTTCGAAAATTTTGAAAAATATATTATCATGGAATGAACTTTCTTAACACCCCTTATAAATCCATCTATTTAAGATTAGAACATTAAATGGGACATATTCTCATGTAAATCAATAGATGCTCTTACAAACAGAACAAAATGCACCGTCTATTATTAATTCTTTTTAATTTGTAGGTTAATGATACTGGAAAATGTTTGACATTCTTATATTCTTCATAAATGGCATCATGTTTAATTTCAAAATCATGCAGTCAAAACTACATTCTTTCACACTTATTTATCCAAAAAAGTCAAAATTCACAATATTCAAAACACACCAACAACAAAGTTTCTAAAAATTCTTAAAACAACCAAGCAAATCTTCAAAGTGAAATTATATGATTTATATATGTGACCTAGAATACTAAAAAGCACCATAAAAATTTAAAAACGCCCTTAATGGTACATAAATGGTTTATGTGGAAACTATTGATAAATGCGATCATTTCTTGCAGTTCTCCGCATCATAAACTCTTAGAATATACTTCATGGTTAAATACTGTATTATTATATGTGCACAATTCAGAAAAAATACATAGCTGAAATAAATTTCAATGGTCAATTTTCCTACTAACACCACCTATATATTTTTTTCTCCAAATTTCATGAAATCCTTGCCTTTTTAATTTGGGATATGTTTGCTGAGATCATTTTTTTGAAAAAGAAAAAAATCCTGGCTGTTTACAGTTGTTAGTAAAATATATGTACTATAATTTTGTAATCTAATTGCATGTAAATGTGCAATAAAATGTAAAATTATTTTAAATTAAATACTGGTCAAATATATTTAATGCAATACATGAATTTTTTCTTTCCATGTACATCACAACACATCTGTCAAAGGTTAAAAGTCATTTTCAGTAAAACACAAGTATCAACAAAGAGATGCAAATATCTCCACTGCTTATCAGTTAATACAAAAAAAAATCTCTCTTCTGGTGTCATGTCAGAATAAAAACATCAGCTTCGAAAACAGTGTAGATTCTATATTCTACTGATCAGCTTTCCATAAATACTGCTTCATACTTTTTTTCTACTACTGCAGCTATCTTAACTCAGGTCCCCTTTGAAAGAATTAATTTTTGCACAGATTTTTAGGGCAGGCCCCAGCTTCATATTCATTGTGGTCATTAGATGGTCCTCTTTAAGAAGCATCAATGCCTGGCCATCAATCTCCTGGGATTTGAACTCGTCAGCGTACGGAGTACAGCCAGGCATAGACTTGATGAACTCATACACCTCAGTGACCTATCATAACAAAAAATAAAGTTTTTGAGAGGTATTCATAAACAGATCACAATTGCACCATTCTAACAAAAAATAAGCATTTCCAATCTGACATTTATCATGGTACTTACAGTCTACAGTTTGTTCACATATGCAAGATTCATGAACAATTCATGGACAATGTAAAAATGCATTAATAACAGAAAAAATGATAAGTAAGGTTTTACAATACAATAAAATGGATTTCTATTCATAATTTGGCAGCACTTCCTATTATATGTGGCACAGTGATAAAAAGTTGAGTTGAGAGACTTACGGTCCATTTTCCTGGGTTGGTGGTGGGTGTGTCTGACTCCATGGCATTATCAGGCTGTTCCTCCGGGGTGACGGGAGACTCGGGGGCTGAGGAGCTCTCGTTGGACGTAGAGCTGTTAGAAGTACTGTGTGCCTCCCCCTCCTCCATAGGTTCTGTCTCATCACGCTCTCCCTCAGCCAATTCCTACAGAACACAATTGATGATTATATATGTATACGTAAAATCTTACTTAATATTCAAATTTATATGCATCTCATTCTAAAATAAGATCTACAGACTGCATGTGTCCCTTTTATGCTCAATCTCATAGCAAATGATGAGAACCTGTGATTTTTATGAAAAGTTGATTAAAATGATCTACAAGCAATAACTGTGTTATTTCTTTGAGTGAATGTGAAAAAATAATCTACAAGTAATACATGTATATATATATGCAAATGTAGGTATTGTAAGAACTATTTAATTTTACCCTATTTTCACCAAATGACAATTTTCCTCCTCTTCCTGGTCCTTTCAGTCCTTTCTTCAGAATCAGAGGAGAGCCTTTTTTCATTATCATTCCTCTTCCAATGCCCACTATAACAAATAAGAAACCAGCAAGTAATATAATGACATGTCATCTATATGCAAATGGTTTTGAACACTGATGTCCTATGGGCTCTGTTGTACCGCTTGGCACAGGCCATGGTGCAGAATCTCTTTGATCTCTTGAATCTAGAAGCCTGCTCCGCTGTCCCACAAAATTCACATTTCGAGAAAAATTCTGGCTCTGAAAAAAAGGACAGTATAAAATTTAGCTCCTCAGAATATGTTCATCCACAAATTTTTCAGAGAACTGATATGCTGTGCCTCCATATATATCAAAGGTTCCCTTGTCTGACCTATAATATGCTATGGAATTAAAGATTTTTTGTGCTGTATTCTGACCTGGGACCTCTTTCTTTGGCACCACCTCTGAGGGCCCTGCACTTTCAGACTCCTCCTCCTCCTCCATTCTGTCCAGACTCTGACTGGCCAATGCCCTCTGAACCTGGAGAGTTTAAATGAAAGATATTTGTAAAAACAAGAGAGCAAGTCCAAGGGACATAACTCCACCAAAAACAAGTTACCCAAAACAAAACTTGACCTAGATATTCTTATGATAAATCTGTCTATTCAATTTCATTACAGTATTTGCAACAAAGAAAATCAAGAAATAAAAACAACACAAACTAGATATTCTTATGATAAATCTGTATACCAAATTTTATTTCAATATGTGCAACCTCTGTGAAGAAAATGAATGGAAACTGATGGTGGGCCGACAGACAGACAGACCGAAAAAAAGACAGCAGCAAAGCAATATGCCCTCCCTTCTTCTAAGGGGGGCATAAACATAGGTAATCAGAGATTACAGAGCTCTAAGGCAAATTAAGTCACACAATTAACCAACAAAAAGTGCTCCAAAAATGCAAAATTTATGCAATTTTGATTTTGATACTTTGGAATGGACCTATATCTTGTTCTTCATCATGAAAATGTAATTAAAATCCAGCATCTGAAGCTCTTGATGCATCATTCGTGCAACTTTGGTTTACATAAGCCTTATAGTTTCTTCGTGATAGACCTGCACCCATAACTTTTACAAGGTCTATTAGCTGGAAAATGTATGTCAAATTCAGCATCTGAACAAAATGTGCACATTTTGCAAGTTTGTTCAACACAAAAAGTTACTTGGAAATGAAACCTGTATAAAAAACTAACCTTTTCACTAATCCTGAAAATGTAGGTCAGACAGCTTCTGAAGCCATAAAATTTAGCTCCCTGCAAGTTTGGTCAATATATATTGGAAATGAATCCTGCACCAAACCTGTTTACTCGTCCAGAAAATTTTGCAGAAAAACTGTTATGCTAAGATGCCATCCATGCAAGTTTAGTCATTATAGGGTTCATAGTACCTTGGAAATGAAACCTGCACCAAAAATTTTAACCTGTTCACTCAACCAGAAAACGTAGGTCAGATTCAGCATCCAAGGCAAGTCTTGTAATATGCATCCTAAGATGTACCATCCATGCAAGTTTGGTCATTATACGTCTCAAAGTAACTTGGAAATGAAACCTGCACCAAAAACTTTAACCTGTTCACTCAACCGGAAAATGTGGCACAGCATCCGAAGTAAGACTGGTAGAGGGCCCATGCAAGTTTGGTCATTATATGTCTCATAGTAACTTGGAAATGAAACCTGCACCAAAAACTTTAACTTGTTCCTCCTCAGCATCTGAGGCCAGTCTTGTAATATGCATCCCAGTACTCCATGCAAGTTTGGTCCTTTAGTAACTTGGAAATGAAACCTGCACCAAAAACTTTAACCTGTTCACTCAACCGGAAAATGTAGGTCAGATTCAGCATCCGAAGCAAGACTGGTAGTATGCATCATAAGATGTACCATCCATGCAAGTTTGGTCATTATATGTCTCATAGTAACTTGGAAATGAAACCTGCACCAAAAACTTTATATGAAAATGATATGTTTTTTTTTTAAAAATGAAATGAAACCTCCAACGGAAAATGTACTCAGCATCCGAAGCAAGTTTGGTATTAAGCATCCTAAGATGTGCCATCCATGCAAGTTTCAACATAGGGCTTATAGTTACTTGTGAAATACCTCGCGCATCAAAAATGTTAACCTGCTCCAAAAACATTAACCTGGTCATTCCTTTGCTGAAATTGGCAAAACTTTTTTGAAACACACAAAATTCAAATCAAATTAAACAAAAAATAATTAACCCGGGACGCCGACGCCGACACCGACAAAAACGACTAGGTTAAATAAACCTAATTAAAATTCTACATAAGGGGGAACTGATTTTTCAAATCAAGCACAATTTATTCTTTTAAGGCAAACTTTTTTCCCAAAATTAATAAAATTAAACATAATTAAGAAATCATAGATTAAAAAATCTTATTAAAATTCTACATAACTGATTTTTTAAAGTGATTTTTCAAATAACTGATGCCATTGCCACGATACTGCTACAACTTACAGGGAATGGTTCAGGCCCCTCCTGTATGACAAAGCCCTCGATGACATGAGTCAGTATGTGTGGTTTTACTATGGCCTTCTGTTTCTCCACCACTGAGGGGTTCTCCTTCTTCACTCCCTCTGTCTTTAACTGAGAAGTGTCCATCTTTTCGGGAGCTGAGGATTTAATTGATGGGGCACCAGAGGTCTTCTCTTGCTGCAAAGATGATTTACAAACTTTATATTAAAAATTCCAAATAAAAGTGATTACTTGTGAATGCTGATTACATTAAAATTGCAAGACACAAGTGTTTTGCTTTGCAATTTTTGCACATCACAGCAAAGAAAAGTGCCTTATTTGGCCCTGAGATTTTGAAAAATCAAAACCGCTTAGTTTAGGTTGCAAATGCAGTATTTATCACTTGGAGTGTTGGTGACCAAACTTTAAATTGTAAAAAATACCCATCAGTCAATGCAATGTGTCATTTTCCTCATATCCTGTAAATTCCTTTGAAAATGACCTAAAGTTGAAGCATTTTTTCAATATTTCATATAGAGCACAACCTCTTAAAATTGCAAATACATAAAGAAACTGAAGATCAAAAGACATGTTTCGTGGGCTGTGCTCATATTTTAATTCTTTGCTGAAGGTAGTCAAATACGCATGTTTTCTGCAAAATTCAAGGAAATTGCGATTTCTCAAACCTGTTTTCCAATATATGGATTCTCAAAACGAAATTTTTTTTATAGAAAATGAAAGCACCAAGTGTCTACTTTTTTTTGATTGGTGAAATGGGAAAGAGGGTGATAGTTAATTAATTGATATAAGTACAGGGCCATCTTATGCATAAGATGGCTCTTGCTCTTTTTGGGGTTTTTTGTTTTCCATTACATATGATTAATCTCCATAATAATCTATTTTTAAAAGATATGAATGTTTTTACTTTCTTTATACCTTGATTGCTTTAGCAGACCCTGTCTTCTCAAGCTTTTCCCCTGCAGTAAGCTTCTTGGTAGATTCCATCTCACTATCTGACTTGCTTTGACTTTGATTTGGAACAGTCAATGAATTCGGTGTAGGGGTGGTAGGTTTTGACTGACTGGCTGCCTTAGACAGAGACAGTGCTGAAGCCACTGTGTTGGTTCCTGCTGATGCTGTCATGGCTCCTGATAAGAAGAAAAAAGAACCCTCAAATCTGAAACATTTCTTTCGAATAAAAAGTTAATTTCATACTTTAATTTTCACAAAAATATCTTTAAAAGTATGTTTTTAATTGATTAGTGTATGAAATATTTCTGAACTGAAGAATTCTTACCGACAATCCTATTAGCTGTCCTGGGTCGCCCTTTGGGGTTCTTAGGAGCACCAGGGACTGCTGCGGTTTTTGGCTTGCTGACAGTTGTGGGGTTTACCCTGGCAGTGACAGCTTTGATTGGGTAAACAGATTGACCCTGGTTGGTCTGTTTGCCTATCTGGACCCCTGCAACATTATTTTGCGAGGAGTTTTTTACTGAGGTCCCAACAATCTGTACCCCCTGGGCTGCCAGTACACCTTCAATCAAACTCTCTTTTAAAAAATTGAACAACTTTCACACCACAACACCAAGGGGGAAGCAGTACAACATTCACTCATGCAGCTCATCACACACTGTACAACATTTAAATTGAATTCAATTTCCTAATAATGACAAATTATTATGTTGACATCTGCATGCAGTTTGATACTGTACAAGTAGTGTTATACATAAATTATGATGTGCAACTATAAATAAATTTAATTTGTTTTTTCCCTTCAGTGTCATATTTATTTTACTCTATTTTTACTGTTTAAAACATCTGTCTCGAAAATACATCAATAGTGCTTTATAGGCAATCTGATTAATGATGTTTTCTGTGTGTTGAATTCTAAATCAATGACAGCAATACACAATCAATAACTAAACACAAGACAGACATTTCTACACCTACTACCTTGTTGTCCCTGAATCTGTGTTGTCCTTAAGTAAACCGGTTGTCCAGGTAAGATGGTTGGTGATTGGCCAGATGCTGACAATTGTAACTGCTGATGACCCAATGGGATTGCTCCTTGCTGAAGCTGATTTGCCATGGCTTGAAGTATGGACTGATTTGTCATGATGGGTTGTGACTGTATGTTTATTTGGCCTAAAAGTTATGAAGAACACATTTTAAACAATTTAATGACTTTATCAGATAATACAGAATATAATCTTCATGTATCTTATTCAAAAAGCTTTAGCACTAGGTAAATTTCCTTTTATATCCATGGCAAGCAACCAACCTGAACTAGATACAAGTTGAGGCTGACTGAATCGTATTGGTGCTTGTGTACTTATCAGCTGTGCTGGGGCACCTTGGTTCAAAGCTATTGATTGCCCTTTTGACTACAAAAAAAAAAAACCCATAAGAAAATCATTTATGATACTCCACTGTTAGAATGTGCTGATCAGTTTAATTTCAAAATGACCTTTAACTTAGATGTTAAAACTAGAGATTTCTCTATGCTAAAAATGTAAGACTTACTCCAACAAACCCTGTAGTACTAGTCAGCTGATTAGGTAAAACACCTGTAAAGAGAAAAGATTTACAATTCACACACAATGCACTTCAACTTTAAAATCTTTTTATTTTTGTAAGATTTGCAAAGCAATCAAAACCACTTTTTAAAATTGTTCTATTTTTGCTCACTAGTAAATGAATATTTAAATGAAAGCATTACTGAGAACAAGGGGCTGGGCAGCAATGTTTGTCTGAGTTGGCATGATTGGTTTGCCTCCTATAAGGGCTGTGGCTTGGGCCGCCTGTTGTGTGGGTGTGCTAGGAGTTGTCTGTCCCTTACTAACAGCCAAAGCTTTCCCGTTGTTAGCAGTAGAGGTCGGTGCAGCTGATACCTGGGCTTGTAATGGGGTGAAAGTGATTCCTGGATTCTGAAAATAAAAGCATGACTTTCAAATTATCAACTCCTGATTGCTACATCTTTAAGTTGGATTTAAATATTGAAAATTTATTTTGCTACAGATTTTTAAAATGAATGTAAGCAACAGTAAAATAGATTTGATTTTACCTGTGTAGGTGTGGTTGGGCCAGGTGACATAAGCCCTGCCCCCATTCTCTGCTGCTGCATGGCCATAGCAGCCATGTTCATATTGGCCATGTTTATCTGTGGGTTTATGTTCATGTTCATAGCATTGGCCTGCATCGCTGCTGCAAAATGAAATGTAAACAATGTACACACTTATTCTAAATATCAGCTGAAAGTCTGATAAAATTTATGATTCTACTTTCTTGTAAACAGACACAAATGCTTTTTTGTGTACATGGATCTATACAATTATTACTACATCTTTTTAAAAATACCTTGCAGGGACATCCCTTGCATAGCAGCAGCATTCTGCAGCATGATTTGTTGTTGATTGAAGGGATACTGCATGTATGGGGTACCCTGCATCTGTGGAATGACCTGCACCTGTGGTATTGCACTCCGCAGGTTAGCAGCATTAACAGTCATGGCTTGAGAAGGTAAACCACCCTGAAGAGTTGCACCTGCCATTGCATTCCCAGCCAAGGCATTAGCTGTCATGGCATTGGCCACCATTGGATTTGACACAGTCATCATTGAGTTGGCTACCATTGGATTCGATACAGTCATCATTGAGCCGCTGCCAGAGAAAATTGCGGCAGCATTCTGTGGTGTTATGCTAATGGCGGCTGCATTGGCTACTGATGCTGGTTGCTGGTGTTGCTGATGTTGCTGTACTGCTGGCTGCTGGTTGACCTGCTGCTGTTGAACTTGCTGTGGTGTTGCAGGTTGTGCATGAACCTGCTGTGGTGTTGCTGGTTGCTGAGCTGGTTGTTGCTGAATTGGTGCTACAGTTTGCTGTTGCTGTGTGCTTGCTTGTTGTTGTGTGTTCCCTGACATGAATAAGTACTTGTGTATAATTTCTAAATTCAAATGTCTGTAAAGTCTTCAAAGAATCTTGTTTAAATTATCCAGTGTTTAATGCTGCATAAAAAGCAAACAATAACAGATGGCCAAAAGTGCTTGCTACGTGTTTATTTGTAATTTGTGATACCCTATACATATTTCTTTTAAGGTGTATAAATTGCAAATTATTACTACTGGGTAATATAAATGTACTTGTATTTATAATTTTTTGTATAACTTTACATTTTCATTGCAGTTAGTGATATTAAAGAGCATTTTTACTCAATTTATCAGTTTATAAGTGGTTTATTGACAATATTTTTTCAATTCTGATGACTTGCAGTGCTTATTAAAATTACAATTTTAAAAAGTCCATAGAATAAAATTCATAAAAAATTCTCAAAACATATGAAGAGATAATATATGCCTTTGGTAAATGACTTACTGTCTTTTAAAATAAGGTAAACATTTTCCATATTTTCCAAAACTAGGAAAATAAAATATTTTTTTTTTGTCATTTATGAATTGATAAGAATATTTTTATTCTCAAGAATTCTAAAAACAGTAACAATTGTAACTAAAAAATATAGAGTCAAATCATAGTCCTAGAAAAGAAATGCCTTCCCTATATCGATTGTACATGTTCAGTACTTTTTTTATTTGTCACGATATTAACCTTGCTGCGGCTGTTGTGCTGGCTGCTGAGGGGTTGCACTGGGTTGCTGATTTTGAGGCTGGGCAGCTGCCTGCTGTGACTGATCAGCCATTGCCTTTTAAGTTTGGCAATATCTGCAATGATACAAATGATCAATGTCAGATATTTATGAAAAGTTTAATACATCAGTTAATTTTGTTAAGCAAAGATCTCAAATTACATTGAAGGTATAGATTTTTTTTTCAATTTTCTTACATAATCAATCATGTTACTTAATGGAAGTCATTGCTCTTGCTGAATTATACCTATTTAATAGTTTATAATATGTCTGGTGAACAATGTACAGACCACTGTCAAACAGCTGTACTGTCATATCTTTCCAAGAAAAAATATTAGGGCCTCGCGTCTAATTGCTGGAAAATGCGAAGACATAAATTTACAAATGGAAATATTTGATACCTTCAGATCTCAATCTTATGACCTAAATAAGATGATCGAATAGATTTCCATGTTTTTGGCCTCATATTTAACACCAAAATTAACTGGGTTAATTTATTATAAACATCTCAACAAAGCTCGACAAAATATTTCACTTCGGTTGTAAATCGTGGCAATTTCAATCACCTTAAATAAATATCATAAATCGGTCGTAACCACAAACAAAGAAAATAACTGCACAACTTTGAAGCTAACCTCAGTAAGGTGTATTTTAACTTCTCGTTTGCTGAACTTGACTGGACAATGAATAATCCGCCATTGTTTTCTTTTTTCGGAACTCCTCGAATAAATTCTAAACCGAAAATCGGAACCGGAAAAGACGGATCCGGTTTGGACACCCCCCCCCCAACATTTTTTATTGACAATTTAAACTTTAACAGAGGCGCTCCCCATGTAAATATGTAAATGACGAAATATAAGTATATATAGGTCTTCCCCCTCTATACTATAAAATCATTTATTTTATAGTATAGAGGGGGTAGACCTATACAAATACAAATACAAATACAAATACTTTATTGGCACAAACACAATTACAATAATTGGCAAAGGCCCACTGAACAACATTAAATAATGTTTACATATTTTTTCAAGAATTGTCAAGTAAATTGACTTCTAAGATCAAAACAGTCTCTGATAAATTTAACAGTAACTTTCAAGACTTTTTGTATATTACTGTTTATATATAATTGTAGCATATATATTTCTCATTGCTAAGATTAATATTTTTCTTTGTTATGTTATAAATATTACTAAAGAATGCGTTTCTTAGCTTAGAGTAAGAATTACAGTGAAAAAGAAAATGTATTTCATCCTCAATCACACCAGTATTACAAACATTACAATATCTTTCATTTCTTGATGTGGAAATATATATCTACCACTTTCTATTGCAAGTTTATGTGCGCTTAGTCTAATTTTACTAAGAGAGGATCTCTCAGATCTTTTTTTGAGTAAATCAACATAAGGACTTCTTTTTCCTGAGTATACTTTCTTGAAGAGATCAAGTTTTTCTGAACCAAAGATTTTTGATGTTTGCTCTTGAGTGCACTGATCAATGATTCTTTGTTTAATGTTTGGTAAAAGGTGTTGGATGGAACCTGTATATTTTGTAATGTTAGAGAATCCAAGATTATCAAGAATAGAAAATAATTTCTTAGTCCAAGAAATATACATGTATACATGTATACTTACATGTGTATTTCGTCATTTACAGATTTATATGGGGAGCGCCTATGAACTTTAAAGGTCGAGGGATAATAGTTATAAATTGTCACCTCAAAATCATAGACACTCATATCAAGGATTGCCTTTTTTTATTATTCAAGCAGATATATGGAACGATGAAAAAGTAACAATTTTGCTATTAATCTATCATAACAATTAAACATTTAATTCATGAATACTATAATATATATTCAGGGCAAAATATCTTTTTAACGATTTCTATTTACAAACAATATAGATATTGTATCCAAATAATTATTACCAGTGTTGTAGAGTAGGATTTCTCCCATAGTCAGCTCCCCCCCCCCCGGAAATTGTACTCTAGCGTACGATTTCCCCACAGCGAAATTTCCCCCTCTTTTCTTCTCAGAGTAAGACTTCCCCCTTGATAAACCACTGCCGCAATAATTTTGTGAAAAAAAGATAAACGACAAACTAATTTTCAAAAGGTAAATGAGTATTTTTTCGACCCCTGTCGTAAGAATTTTCTAAGCATATATTTCAAATCATGGAATCTCAACCAAAATATATAACTTTCAAAAGAAATATAAATATTCTCAAAATACATGTAACAATGATGAAACAAACAAAAAATGGATGTCTGGAGTGGATAAGTATATATTTTTGGACCTATTTTGGTTGTAAATGATTATATAAAACTTTCTAAAATATTAAGAAATTGTAAACTTACCAATGATGTTCAATTTTTTTTGTCATATTAAATCTCCTTAAATCCCATTTTTGTGAAACATTTAATGAAAAATTAAAAAAATGTGCGGTTAAAATTGTTTATTTTACTTAATTATTTAAATAGGACTTAAGTTTTAATTTTCAAAGTTTGTTTGTATCATCTGTCCTTAAATCAATTTAGGGGACTGAATTTTGGCTCTGGGGGAAATCGCACTCTATAACTACTACACAGAGTAGGATTTCCCCCTGAAAAATTTACTCTGGTGTGGTATTTCCGGGTGGGAAATCCTACTCTAGAGTTTTCCAGGGGGAAATTCTACTCTAGAGCCAGTTTTCCGGGGGGGGGGGGGATTTTAGGGGGAAAACCTTCTCTACAAGACTGGTAATGCTCCTTACCAGTAATAAAGGAGGTGTCCCACTTGTTTTCCCCTAAACGATTGCAGATATTAAGCTGGTTTTTAGTATGAGTGAATTTTGATGGGTTATCAAGTAATTATTTGCATTCCGTTCCACAAATGATTTTGAATTACAGCTTTATCCCCCAATCCATTTTTCAGCGTTTTTGGCAAAATTTCTCAATGTAAATTGCTCTATATGACATCTGTTCAATACAAAAACAGCAAGAATTTGTGGTTCTTGTAACTTAAGACATTTCAATTAATCCAACTTCTTTACCATTTTGCAATAATTACACCCCTCTTAGGATGCGTGATGGTTCATTGAAGAAGATTGAAACCTCCTTTACTTTAATATAATATTTTGTGGTATGTTCAGATAAAACTAGCTCTTGTTCTGAAGATGAAAATACTTATCCATGCATAAAAACTTAACAATAAAAGTTGTCCCACAAAAAGTGAACTTTTGCCTCTGGTTTAGTAGAAATATCTAAATAGGTAGAGAAGACCAAATTAATACCCCAAGAAAGAGAGGCTAAAATTTTGTTGCAACAAATGCTTTTTTGGTCATAATTACAATTGATTTGCAGGAAAATTGCCCTCTGGCATATCTGAAGAATACTGAATTCCTGGATACATCATATATTAAAGTAAAAAAAAAATCATGAACGACATTTATGAATTTTATTTTCTGTACTCTTATTCTAAAATACACATGTAGAGCACATATTTTTTGGACCTACAAAAATTAAAATGTCCCACATTTTATATTAGGTCTATATTGTTAAAACTCTTACATGCCAAATACATGTAATCTGTATTTGGCAAACTAGTCTTCAAATGATTTCATCTATTTTCAAATTTAATTACATAAAAATCTTTATGCAACATGGATTACGTTGTGTTTATACATGTAAAAATTCCTATACAAAATAAAATACAATATATAATAAATACTAAAAAAATCAAATACTCACACAAGAATTAAAATACATATATGTAAGCAGTAAAAACCAGAAGTCTCTGTCGAGATTGTAGCTCTACTGGTTTATACTTAAAACAAAGGAAGAGAAAAGTAGCAGTTGGACTTGAGACTTTAAATCAGCAATAAATAGAAAAATGATCCTTGCCACTCATCAAAATAAAAACCAATGCACAGAATTATGTATCTTAGTATAGTCTACTTGTGTGCCAAGTTATACTGAAATCGGACCAAAACTGTAGGAGGAGTAGCATTTTGAAAGAATTTCACAGAAATTTCTATTTTTAGTAACCATGTCAACACCGTTCATTGAAATCAAAAACCGATGCACAGAATTATGTATCTTAGTGTAGTCTACTTGTGTGCCAAGTTATATTGAAATCGGACCAAAACTGTAGGAGGAGTAGCATTTTGAAGAAGAGAATTTCACAGAAATTTCTATTTTTAGTAACCACGGCAACACCGTTCATCGAAATCAAAAACCGATGCAAAGAATTTTGTATCTTAGTGTAGTCTACTTGTGTGCCAAGTTATACTGAAAGCGGACCAAATCTGTAGGAGGAGTAGCATTTTGAAAGAATTTCACAGAAATTTCTATTTTTAGTAACCATGCAACATCGTTCACCAAAATCAAAAAACCGATGCACAGAATTATGTATCTTGGTGTAGTCTACTTCTGTGCCAAGTTATATTGAAATCGGACCAAAACTGTAGGAGGAGTAGCATTTTGAAAGAATTTCACAGAAATTTCTATTTTTAGTAACCACGGCAACACCGTTCATTGAAATCAAAAACCGATGCACAGAATTATGTATCTTAGTGTAGTCTACTTGTGTGCCAAGTTATATTGAAATCAGACCAAAACTGTAGGAGGAGTAGCATTTTGAAAAATTCTTTACAGACATCTATTTTCAAATTTAATTACATAAAAATCTTTATGACGGACGTTGTGTTTATACGTAAAAACTATACAAAATAAAATACAATATAGCATAAATACTAAAAAAATCAAATGGTCACACTGACCTGTATGTAAGCAGTAAAAAAAAAGGAAAAATAATATAGAAGGGAAAAAAACATAAACAAAGTGAATTACTGACTAAACAAAATACAGTTAGTTGTTTAAAAAATAATAAAAACTTGATGAAAAAATCATCATCAAAGAATTCTTTAAAAAGCTGCACATGGAAATCATAGCACTCATTCTATACCCATAAAACAAATACAGGTATTAATATAAATATTGCCTGATAACTGAATTATATATTTCTTCAGATCAAATACATGTACCAATGCAAAAATTAAAATACATACAGCAGTAAAATTAAAAGGAGAAAGAATTCAGGAAGGAAAAAAAAAAAAAAATTGAACATAGTGACTTTTAACACAAAATACAATTTTAATTGTTTAAAAGATTAAGGGAAAAAAGAATACTATAATAAAAACTGCACAAGAATATATGAACACTTATTATGGTATATGTAAACAGAATTCAAGTAACAAAATCTTGTTTGAATCATATTTTACAAGATAGTTATGAATCATTTCTTTCAGTTTACACAGTAGAGGCAGAAACAGATAATTTCAAAATTAGTAATCATGAGATTAAAGCGTCCTAAGGCAGTATTTTAGTATCACACAACAGAATACTTGGAAAATGCAAACTCCCTGAATTCATCAAACTTGGTGTAAAGATGTGAAATGTCCTCATTTGCATCAATCACCTGTAAATATATATAGATTTGAAAAGAAATATTATATTTGAACATTTTCATAATCAACGTAATGAACAACTGATAGGCAAAGAAACGTTTCAAAAAATAATTTCAGTTGATGAGAGAGAAAAAAGAGGCTGTAATAGTCTGCCATTTCACCAATGAATTTAATTACATTTTACATTGTCAAGAAAACCTGAAGCTTATTCTAGAAATCTTTTCTGACATGCATGTATGTATACATGCTGTTTTTGTACACAACTTACATAAACAGGGGCTGGTATTTTGAACTTTGTTTGGTTAATCAACCAGTTTTCATGAAGATTATGGAGGGACTGCAGATACTCCTGTAATAAATGAGCACAAGTTTAATATTGCTTCCCAAGTACTGCCAATCCTCATTTCTTGATACCCTAAGTTAATGTTATTAATACTTAATCAAAATTTTGTATACGTCTGTACTGAAAGTAACACAGTGAAAAGTAATTCGATAGTCTACTAAAACTATTGAACCTAGATATGTTGCCCAGACTTGTATTTAGTGTATTACCAAACTGCTACAGGATGTACTGTGAAATCACAAATTTTTCTGGGGTTTTTCGTTGTTTTCAAGGTATGGAGAGACCCACGAATTCATGTCCACAACGAAATGTAAAATGTTACATACATTATTACTCAACAATTCTTAATCCAGGAATTTAAATCCCCACAAACGAAGAGTTTCTACCCACACCATGAAAATTTGACCCCACGAAAATATGTGATTTTAAAGTATATGCATGTGTGTATGCATGGTCTTTTACAATTATATTCATTCTTATTAAAGCTAGTTTTTTTGGTACATGTATTCCTAAGGCCAAGATAAATAAATAGTGTGTTTCCTACTCCAGCCTAAGCAAAAATAGGATAGGTAGGTAGGGAAAAGATTTTATTTTATTTAAACATTTTATTGGCAAGCATGCTGCCATTTTCCCCCAGAGAAATCGCTTTCAAAATATTTCTGATTAATGTGAGTATGATGTTCCTTTTTCAAACAGGGAAAAGATTCAGATAAGGATTTCTAATAGTAAAACTGTTTTGTTAACTCCTAGAAAGATATTGGCTGAAAAATTTTTCAGGGTCAGCTCCAATATTCAAGGGTCAGTTGGGAACTGGAAAAATACAATTTATTTATCTAGGCTTAATAGAAATGCAGAATCTTACAATGGGGACATCTTTTTCTTCCATTCTAGCTCTTTTTCGGATTCTTTCTTGACAGGTTTTGGGATCAGCTCTCAAGTACACTGCAAAATGTATACGATCTATTGAAAGTACATGTACATACCAGTAATGCATTAAAATGATGTTGAACAAAGCAGAGCATTACGGTGGTGAATATTACAACATCGGCTGAGACAAATATTCAACTTTACAAAAATAAAAGACTCCCAAATATATCATCCACATGGGTTATTTCCTCTGGTAAATATAAACATTTCTATGCATTATTAATTGGTTTATGACATTGTTAACTATTTCTGATTCAGTTTTGGGCAATACAACAATTAGGTATTATTGAGGTGATTAAAATTATTAGATATTGATCCGCGATTGTGTCACTTATACCTGGTAGTAGCTAAATTTCAATTTACTTCATACTGAAAGCTATTGATCATTATTAAGCTGCAACATACCAATAATGTCAACCTTGGTGTTTTCCTGTTGTAATATGAAATCATAGAATTCTGACAATACAGCGTAGTCTATCTCAGGCATCAGCTTACTGTAATAATCATATAAAATAAATCATAACCCACTTGTGTTATACAAAGTATTATAAATCTATTATACTGAGTAACATATTTTAAATAGTTGCTTTATTAAAATTCAGTTGCTAATGCTATCTTAAACAGAATGCAAAAGCTCTTATAAATTATTCAAGAACGTAATAGGCTAGGGAAAAAAATGTGACAATCCAGACCAGGATTCAAACCCAGACCCATGAATCCATAGCAAGGTACTCCATCAGTGCTATCTGACCATAGGGCAATCAAACTTGCCTGAAAATCCCCTCCCTCCTTGGAGGTCTTTGCCCAGGTGATCAAACCTGCCCTCCCCCCCCCCACTTAATGGAATTTAGTCCCAGAAGACACCATGCCAGGCTTTTCCCTGGCAGGTCTTTGGCCTGACACTTCCAGTGCATGACACCTCACCAAATACATCCAGTGAGGGAGAAAAATGCAAATAGCCAGACAAGAATTTGAACCTGGACCCCCAGACCAGAATCATTAGCCAGATACTGTATCACCAGCCATTTGACCTGCCTGCTAGTCACAAGAGCAAGATAAAACATCAAGTGAGAAATCCATTGAATCTCCAAATAAACATTTTTTCTAAGAAATGTAATGTTAGCACAAGACCTCCAGTTTTGCATCTCAAAGTTAAGTTATTTTCCTCTGAATCTATGAAACATGTCACAATGATGTGATTTCAGACAGGCTAACAGACAGAAAAGGTTAACAAAAGGAGATACATTTGAAGTGTGGTATATCGAACACTGATATGTCCAATACCATGGATATGTCAAGGTAATTTAGAAGTCCCAACTACTTACTGTTTAAGTACTTTACCACTGATATCATGAATCCTCCGATACCTCAAAGTTTTTGTCAGTCCCACTGAGTTTGAGATCATAACAAGGTTTGAATGTACATTCAAAGAGAAACTACAAACTTGCCTCTGGTAAAGATTTTCAACAAAACAGTTTCTGGCACTGAAGATGGATCTCTCCATCATCTTGATGCTGGTGTGCTTTGTCTACAAAAAATGGGTAAATTAAGCTTGTATTACATTATGATACAATGTCGTTAAACCCGTAAAAATTAATAATGAACATTTTAACATGACTTACTCTGTGTTTGTGACCCTCAGCCATGGTTAACTGGACGTAAGATTGGAAGGCCAAGCTCCAGCGTGAAGCATCCTTATACATCATATCCTGCGGGATATACAATATTTATCAAAATCTTTTAGTTAAGATGTAATTTCATTCTTGTTCAAATTTTTTTAAGTCTCTCTTTTGATTTAATGGGAAAAGATGGCAATGAAGGTACACAGAGATATATTTTGATATGAAAATGGATTCCTACTTTCAGTCATCAAAATAATCATTATTTTGATTTAATGGTAAACCACCTCCTGTCGCCCCTTAATGAAAGCCCTCAAACATTAACAGCTTTTGAAGAGACTAGGCTTAATTTTCCTCTCTGCAATATTTTTCTGACTATTTGGCCAAAAAAAAAAAGTCTTGTTTCCTGCTACCCAACCTACCCTACCTTTTTTGCACCCGACCCTAAAGTTTTGTTTAGCTTTTGGGGAAAAAATTGGAAATTGCAGGAATTTTATGTTCCAAAAGTGAAAAAAATATATATATATTCAAATTGTATTTCATGAAATATATGTATAAAATATGGACTTTCATAAAATTCCACTTGAGTTGTGCATCAAAAGACATGGAATTTCATTAAGATAATATTGACCTAGCTATGTAAGGGCGAAACGATTACACGTGTAAATGGCGACGTTTCGATTATATGCTTTAAACGTTTACAGTTTCAGTAAACGTTTACACGAAGGTCATTATCAATGTCTATCAGAAATAAAGTTTAACACAAACAAATTGTTTTATTTCATAATATACAAAAGAAACACCGTCTTTGACCATTTGATAAACAACAATCTAACCCGGAAGCATATTGAATGAAATATATATAAGTTGCTAATACTAGCGATGTTTTACAACACTTGAAATATAAAACTTGGCATATTTTGATTGAATAAATATAATACAATTTTACAATACATTTTTACAAGTCTGAAAAGTTTCGATACAGTTGACAGCAGGTCTTGTTTTACTTTTTTCGAGATTAAAAGAACCATCTTTACAATTATTTTTCTATGTCCGGTAGCCAAACAAACCAAGCAGTTGGGTGACGAGGTAGAAAGTGAATAAGTTTTTTAGTATTACGTTTAAATCATAATGACCAACAATAAATTTGTAATAACAACTCAAACTTATATTAAAGTGAAATAATTGATTATTAAATTCGAGTTTCACGAGTAAGTAGCCATAAAAATCCAACATAGAATATCTCCCGTTTAAACGGTACCGTTTCGTTTACTGCTATCCGTTTAAACGTTTACAAAGTTCAGTAAACGTTTCACCCTTATAGCTATGACATGTTTTATTTGGTTTTGTAGTAGTTCATATCCACCGAGCTGTGGAAAACTGCCGGTCATGCCGGCAAGACCGGCAAAAAATGTCTGTGACCGGTAAAAATGCTATCGATTCGGTCCAAGTGACTGACCTCTTTCTTTGTTCAAAGTATTTGTTTTTCCATTTTGATTTAGGCCTATCATCGGCGCACTTCCCAGCTTAATTTTCGAACCTTATATACCTGTATACGATTGCGCAATACTTTCTCTTTTCACGAAATCTAGGCTATAGGAAATGAAAGCGAAACCAGCATTTCCATGTTGTCTCGAGTGACCTTTTAAATTTACAAAAGGGGCTAAATTAGGTAGTTAACATAAAAAAAAGATTAAGACGGGCTAAATACCTGGGTATTTAAAACATTTTGACCAAAAAATTCAAACACAGATGAGTAAAGCGGTAAACCTAGTACTTCCGTTGTTCCGATTTCCCAGATTTCGTTTTTTCATCGATCATGTTCATGATGTTGGTATCTTTTTTATCGATGCACAGAATTTCTTAGACTCATTTTCCAGGTAAAATATAATTCCCAAATGCATTAATGTTTTTAAAAAATAACGTTTACTATGAAGAATTATCATTGTCACCTGCCCAAAAGTGATGTAATCTAGTATTGTTATTAAAAAAAAAAAACAACAAAAAAAAAAAAACGGAGGAGGACTGAATGTCATTACTAAGTGAAGTGTATTTAAGAAAATAAATGTTATGCTTTTCTTTTTAATTTTGCAACTTACTATTTCGGACCGGCATATTTTGTCTTCTTGCCGGTCCGAATGACTGACAATCTGAAAAAGTTTTCCACAGCTCTGTATCCAAAATATACCGTTGGGAAAAAAAAAATAATTTTCCTACCTACCTACCCTTTTTTTCAGGCTGGTAGCAGGAAACAGGCCTGTCCAACTATTTGGAATTTTTGCAAACCTTTTAAATGACTTGTACGACCAGGACCTGATGTGTTACTATAAATCTACTTACCAGAGTGTTGTATCCATCCACATCTTTCCATTTCTGGACTGGCTCTGGGATTACCTGCAAAGCAGACATATACATGTGCACATATCATACAATCACTAAGTTTAAATCAGTTCCAAAAATGTAACTAGCTATCGAATGCTAATTAAAAGAAAAGTTAAGCACAAGGGCAAATTATTTAGCCCATTCCAAGTTTTTTTTGGTATCCAAGCATCTTTTTCTTTCAGAAACATACCTACCTATTTGCAATTTAACACACACATGCCAAACAAGAGGCCCATGGGCCACATCGCTCACCTGAGAAGCTTTAACCATTCCGTTCTTTACCAGATTGCCCCCTTGTAATACATATTGTGACCCATCCTACCCCACAGATCATAATTTAAACAATTTTAAATCTACACTACCATATGATGCTTTGATTTCCCATTGTGGCCCCGCACTACCCCGGGGGGTCATGATTAGAGCAATTTACAATCTACACAACCCCAGGATGCTTCCACATAAGTTTCAGCTTTTCTGGCCAAGTGGTACTTGAGAAGATTTTTAAAGATTTTTGCTATATATTTCTATGTAAATCTTTGATTCCCCATTGTGGTCCCTCCCAACCCCCAGGAGTCATGATTTGAACAATTCAGAATCTACACTACCCTGGGATGCTTCCACATAAGTTTCAGCTTTTGATTTTCAAAGATTTTTCCTATATATACTTCTATGTAAAACTTTGATTCCCCATTGTGGCCCTGCCCAATCCCCAGGGGTCATGATTTGAACAATTTAGATTCTTCACTACCCGGGATGCTTCCACATAAGTTTCAGCTTTTCTGGCCCAGTGGTTCTTAAGAAGAAGATTTTTTAATGACGCCACCCTATTTTTGTGTTTTCTTGATTATCTCCCCTTGTGAGGGGATTTGGTCCTTCATTTTTACAATTTAAATTCTCCTTCACCCAAGGATGCTTTGTACCAAGTTTGGTCAAAATTGGCCCAGTGGTTCTTGATAAGAAGTCGAAAATGTGAAAAGTTTACAGACGGATGACAGATAAAATGTGATCAGAAAAGCTCATTTGAGCCTTCGGCTCAGGTGAGCTAAAATAGACCAACTTAGTCATTCATAAAATTTTGCATTCAAAGAAGTTTTTTCCAATTTCAGAATTCCTGATTTTGTTTGCTTTTTCCGATTTGGGGTTTCAAAAACCAAGGTGCTAAACTAACTGGAATGGCCTAATGATAAATCAATGAAAGAATGCAGTACTCAGTCAGTCTGACTCTCTTAACTGGGAAGATGATAGTCAGAAACTCTTATTAAAAGCCAGCTGAGCTGTAATATATGATTCATTTTCCATGCAATTACATTTAAAATAGGCCTACTCTTACCTCGATTTTATCACTGAAGTTTTTGAAATATTGAAGAAACGTTGATTTTCCACTTCCAATATTTCCTTCAACCACAATCTTTTAAAAAAAATTAAATTGTTTTGTTCATTAAAAATAATATATTTTTTTCAAGTATATATTTTTTTGCGTACTTGACAAACACGTCTATAATAATCTTATTTCTGATGTCATCGTGTTATTACTTAAAATTTACCGTTGGAACTCGTCCTCTTTTCTTTTTGGGAATGTTGACTTGAGGATCAACATTTTCTAAAACACAATAAAAGAATCAATGAATTCAACTGTGGAACCAAGAAATTATGCCCTACTGGTGAACACAGTGTAACTAAGAATACGATATCATATGGTACCTGAATCAAAGTGACTAAATCCTAGCATGTTGTTTTCTTTGGCAGTGCAGTGTTGTTCACCTGTTGTCGTCGTGATCTTTGGCGCTTTATTCACATATACCGCTAAAATTCTTTGTTATCCAATCAAATTTGTCCAATTTTTCACTCCATGAGACTCTAATATAGGCCTATGTGTAAAAGCGCTTCAGATCAAAGCGATGATGTTTGGAACATCGAGTTGCATTGGCTAGGCCTAAACATTTTATATTCAACAAGTGAAATTATCACCGTTCACAAAAACCATGCAAGATAATTTTTCCGCTTCCACTTTGGGTCAAACTTAATCAGTCATCATTGACCAATGAAACAGCAGCGCGCGTTACGTCACTGATTGAATCGTGAGTCTTGCATGGAGGATGGATGAAGATGAACAGGAGAAAGCGTAGCGTGACAATATATGTTCGCAACAAGCAACGATACAACCCTGCATCTAAGTTGTACAATTTTATCAATGTTCGCGTTGAAAATTTTGCTGGCACCAGAATTGGCGACATCAAAGAGGTGCGTGGGAAAAAGTTTGCGAAAGTTAACCGGAAGTTGAATTGTTTATAAACAGTCGCAAGCACATGTCATCATTGCGACTTGTTCTAGCTAAAAATTAATCGACTCTTATAATCGAAGAGCAGGCGTTAGCTTTATTATGAAAAGGCTTACGGTATAATATATTCTTAAGACTATTCTATAGCCCCTGGTGAATGCGGGTGGTTTCGCTCCGATTACGTGTTCGCGCCAAGTGGTTTCGCTCCGATTACGTGTTCGCGCCAAGTGGTTTCGCTCCGATTACTTGTTCGCGTCGGGTGGTTTCGCCCCACGTGGATTCGCGTCGCTGTATTACTGAAGATACCGCTTATCGGGTAGTCGTTTGATTATCGTTTGATCACTAATGACGAACAGATTAATTATAAATAATGATGAGAGACAAGTCGTGCGTTTTTCAAATGTATTTCCAAAAACTTCATTCTACCAAAAAAAATCACCATGGCCAGCTGTCTTCATTGCAGAAAAACGGTAAGTATTTCTTTTTTTAATCCCAAAATTCTCAATATTAATAGACCTAAAAAGATATTTTTTTATGTCTTCTGTCTTAAATAATTTCTAGTACTGTGTGTGAAAATCATAGAAGAATAATTATATATTATTTAGGATGCATAGTTTATCATATATAAGCTTTGAAGTTTTAAAGAATTTATATCTATAAGAGGTACTTACAATGAAGAATATTATTCCATTTTCTAATTACTGATGTCTGTATTTAAAGATAGTTTACCTTTGAAGTTTTCAGGATGTTCTATATCTTTGTATATATATATGTAGTTGTGTGCCAAAATTTAAGATTATTATATTTTATATATATATATTTAATTGAAAAATATTTTTTGTTTTTCTTTTTATAATTTTGGCACACATGTATGTATATGTATGTGTTCGTAGAACTGATGTCTCTGTTAATCATAATCTATTTATTAAGTATAGCTTGAGGTATATTTTAAATATAATTGTGTATTCGAATTTAAAAAAAACAAATTGAGTCTTAAGTTAGTTTTTTAATGAGATATATGTATGTAGTTGTGTGCCAAAATTTAAGATTGTTTTATTTCAAGTTGTTATATTTATATTTAAATGAAAACTATTTTTATGGCGTCGGGCTTGCCCGATCGTCATCTAGCGATCAGTCAGGTTTACGCGACCGAATGGTCAGTGGATGCATCCGCAATAGAAAATAGCAACAGCTGTTACAGTAAACCAATTTCTTTTAAAACATTCACAATGAATTATAGCTTGAATATAAAATTAAATCAATTGTATCTTCAATTAATACTACTACAAAACAACGATATTATGTTTAATTTTTACGCAAGAAAAACGTTATGGTTGTTGCGGATGAATTTCTACTGAGAGGGTGCGTCGAATGACATGAATCACATTTTGGGACCGATTACTGTAATACAAACAATCTTAAATACGGTAAAATAATTACAAAATAAACACGAATACAACAAGACTATAAAGACTGAATTTCTTAATCTTAGCTTTACTTTTACGATCTTCAATCCAATTTTAGCCGAACAACCTACGATTTTGACCAGTAATGCCAGTATTACTGTATTTATCCATTTCCTCCATTTGTTTACCGCGCCTTATCGTAAGTCGATCGTACTTGTAACATTAGAGTCATGGTTGTCGTTAAGATGCAATCACTATACAATAGAACAACACTCTGACAATGGCAATTAATTAAAATAATTTATGAAACCCTTCATATGTCTTCGATTAACTGAAAAGAAATTAGATTGATATAGAGGATGGACATTTCTGACAATGTCTGGTCAATTCGAACCCTGACTCATTCGGACCAGGACACAAGGCTATCAGGCCCTATACTGTATTTGTGTTAAGACTATTTTTTTTTTTAATTTTATTATTATGTTACTGGAGTCACTCACTTGACTTATTTGCAGATCTTTTGAAATTGTTTTTCTTGTTCGACGCCATTGAAGCCTTTCAGGCTTTTGATTTATATTTTAAAATTAATATATATTGATTTATTTAATAACTGCTGTTAATCATAATCTATTTATTAAGTATGCATGTATAATAGGCATTGAAATATATGAACTTCAATAATTATATTTTAAATATAATTGTGTATTCGAATTGAATCAGAAATGGAGTTTTAACTGAGTTTTAATGAGATATATTTATCATTTTTAACTTTGGGAAAAATATACACAAGTAGAATATTTATAGCATTATGTCACCCACAAAATTTAAATTATTATATTATAGCATATAAATTGGAAAGTGTTGATAAAAAAGATTCCAGTGACAGGTAGAATTTCCTATGATATCCTTAATATAAGTTTTCTTATATTATTCCACTATTTAGTATTAGTAGATATTAAACAATTGTATTTATTATCATTTATTATACATGACTAGCAATAAGGTTATAATAAAGGAGAATATATCAACATTTTAGAATGACATTCAGATATGTTTCATTGATATTTATTTTGTAGAAGAGATTATATTAGAAATACTTCCAATATATTATTCACATTTATATGCACTCACTAGCTGTAAATGACATGAGAAATAATGCTATTTTTGCTATCTAACAAAAAAGCCAAAAATAGGATGGACGTTATATTAATCTAATTGATAAAAATATTTTTGTAAAAACATAAATTTAAAAACTTGGCAGTTTGTCTCTGATGACTTTTCAAACATTAATAATACATTCTTAGCAAAAAACAAAAAAACAAAAAACAAAAAAACAAAAACAAAAAAAACCCAAATAAATAAATATAACAGATGTAAGACATTACAAATTGTACCTAGTAAATGTACATATTAAACTTCCCTAGTCTCTTTGAAAAATTAATAAATATATATATGAATATCTGTAAATATTTGACAGTTTTTCTGAGTATATGATAAAAAAAAAAAAGAATCCAATCCTAGAGTTAATAAATATAATTAATTAATTTTACTTATATTTAGGTACGTGCCAAGCAACACGCCCTGTGTTGTGATGGATGTGAGCGATGGCGAGAGTTCTACAGAGGAGAGTACCATTGCTATTGCTAATATTGATAAATACCAAATAAATTTATGAAAGTAAACATATGCCTTCTTCTCTTTACCATAAGTAATTGATAAGCTGATGAAACATGATGCAGTTCAGGACTAATGAAAAAGCATTGATCAGCAGACTATAATATCATGAAATATATACTATGAACGACCAATAATTTTAGAAACGTTTTTAAGGACTGATATAAAACATGGTATATACACAATATTATAAAGAGAAGTTTCAATGAAAAACAATGACAACCTTCATTGAAAAGACGAGATTTGTGAAATTAATATTATATTTCAACAGAAATAAAAATTATATTTTAACATCCAATCCTAAATTATTCCAAATTAAACGATCAAATTTGATCAAATAGTCATAATTTGGTTAAAATAAAATGGTCTCAATAAAGGTGTTACTACAAAATGGGATAATTATTCAACATAACATGACATTAGCGCTTGGGGTTCATTAATTACAAGCTACTGGGTTATATAATTACAGGTAATCGGGGGAAGCCATTCTGTATACTACCAATACCTTACCTGTAGATAGATACCTGTAGATAAACGGGGCGAAACCACCCGGCGCGATACCACTCGGCGCGAACACGTAATCGGCGCGAAACCACCCTACACCCCCCTGGTAATTTCAACTCAAGATCATACACAATGCCTGCTGAAATTAAAGTAGTTAAAATATTTGATTAAAAAATCTGCAAAAATTGCACAGAAAATTGTGTATTACTCAAAATACTGATTTCTTACCTGAGCTGTTTTCTGAAACGCGCATGTTAATTGTTATGCATGTTATCTCGACCTTTTCGCCAAACTTTGGTCCAAAATTCATTCGGCCTAACATTTGCACCATTGCAGTTTCGAACTCAAATAATTATATGTCTCCACCTCAGTTAACCTCTTGACAAAAACTAGACGATGTATATGAAATTTTTTTCCATTAAAATTATTGTGCTTTGAAAGTGCTTTATTTTTACATGTTTTACCTGTTTTGATAATCCAATCAAGCAAAAATCAAAGTGATCAATAATGAGACTGTATATTGAATAACAATATTATTTTTCATGGACATTGCAATTTTCATATAAAGAGTAAGACTTTACTATCTGACATTGCATTTCTTACAGGAGGCTAGAAGACAATCTGGAAACAATGTGAAGATTGATGATTTGTACCTGAACAACGAGAGACTTGCAGATGACAGGTGATTTTATTTGAAGTTTTGTTAAATATACGAAATAGTACTTTTATAACATTAGTACCAAACTTGTGCATAATATTGCAAGTTCAATGAAATAGGTTAGAAATTATTTATTTTGCAATAACATTACTTCACTATAATATTTGTACATATAATATGTCAAATATTATTGAAAAAAGTAATGTTATGAATTTTAAATCAAAAGATGGAGTCTTTTTATACACCCGTCTTAAGACGGGACGTATTATGTTATAGGCTTCGTGTCCGTCCGTCTGTTAGCTTTTTCGTTTCCGGCTCATAACTTTAATACTACTAGGCCTAGGATTATCAAACTTTGTCATCGGATGCATCTTGGGTAGAAGGTGTGTCGCGCACAAAAAGTAGGTCGCTCTGACCTTTAATTAAAAAGTTATAGCCAAATATGGAAAAATCCTTTCCGGCCCATAACTAGAAAACTATAAGACTTACAATCATCAAACTTGGCCAGTTTATGCATCTTAGGTAGAAGGTGTGTCGCGACCTATTTCAAGGTCACTGTGACCTTTAATTTAAGTGAAATTTTTAAAAAAAAAATGTGTCTTTTTACTATTCATTTACACATCCCAAATAATGTAAGAGTATTGCACTGTCCCTATTAAAAAAGTGTTCAATCAAGAAAATACTTATTTTTTTAAGCATATACTTGACAGCAATCTATAACAAATATAATGTATGTTAGAGAAATTCTACCTCTCCCATGAGTGTAATTATCAAGCACTGGTCAAGAAGAATTTTGATAACAGAAAATTGCATGTCAAATTAGAGAGAAATTAATGGGTTTTGAGTGTGAGGAGCTAACTGACAGGGCATTGATGTTATCTGTATCCCTTGAGTATTGGGCAAATGGGTAAGCCTGTTTGATTAAAAATAGCTCTTGTTGGCTAGCTTAAGTTTTAAAATGAATTTGATGAAAAGTAATTAAAACTAATTTGATTTTGCATAATAGACTAATCTGATATTATGTAATATTATTAATTTAAAAACTAATTTTATGGGGTGGGGTGGAATCAGCATGTCCATATAAATTATAATTATATTAAAACCTGTCGGACATTAAATCTCACTAAAAAAAAAATATTTGAGTATTTTATGTTTTCAAAAAAAATTATGGTAGATAGTGCAGACCCATTCATCTCTTGGTAGTAATGAGTAGACAAGCATCCAGTTAAGATTAATTAATGAGTTCAATATAGGAAGGCTATCTGATCAAGCAGTCTTATCTGTACCCTTAGGGGATTAGACAGAATAACTGCTGGTCAGTTTATAACATGTCATTTGATGGCCAGCCTTTTCTTTTCAAAATTAATTTGGTATAGATTAAGTTGTTAAGACTAATTTGATATTGTTTATTATTATGCTTCCTGTCAGTTTGTCTCTATATAACCCATACCCTACTATTCTCGCATAGTGTTCTAAGGATTTATATAGCGTAAGCATACTATGCTGAAATAGTGCACGGCTTCCATTTTTGAAGAAAATCCAAGAACGCCCATACAGGGGAGCGAACTCACGACCCCGAGATTGTCAGTCCGACGCGCTACCGATTACGCCACAGACGCTGTTATCTATAGTATTGTACTATAATATATATAAACTTAGTTTCAAATATTTTATAATTAAAATTAAAAATAAACAAAATAATTCTTCTAAAATAGTTTCTTGCAACGCCCCTTCCTTCATTCAAATAATATTCTCTAAAACTATCTGTAGATTATACCTAAAGCATGGAACGTTCAAAATTAAAGAAAAAGATTATGACGTACATGTTGCATAAGGTGACGTCATAATAGAGTAGACGAATGTTACAGGTGATGAAACATTGGGAATGAATAAAATATTGCCGTTTTTATACAGTAACAACAGTCAGCATAATAATAACAATAGTGTAGTGTTTTGCATGCAATTTGCCTAAACAGTAGTCAGGGTTTGACACATTGACGCCTCGGGCTCGTGCACCATATGTCAAGCCCTGACTACTATTTAGGCATAGTGCACGCAAAACACAACACTATTAAATAAATATGATGGGCATTTGACAAGGTCTAACACATCCAGCACAGAAATCTATCAGTGATGTAATATTTATAATTTATGCCTACATCACAAGGGATGCATAAATATTTTAAGGAATGGAAAAATCATCGAAATATTAGAACCAAGGTTGATGTGATTTTCTTGCACCTAAACTGTTCAAGAAAATTTTAAGTTTTTGACAGGCGTATCATGCTGTGGCACGACACTTTATTATTGTCTGAAGAGAAAACGAAAAAATTTCTTATAAATTATCAGCTACTCAGTCTTGTAAATGCACACATATATTTTACTGGGAATAGGTAACTTTAGATAAGACAAGGAAAGAAAAAAAATGACATATGAAATTAGTAAATAATTTACAAAGAGTATAGTTTTCAATTCAATTAATTGATAACATTTATCAAATGCACTTGTTTTAATGTAATGACTAAATGAGTCAAAGATATTGATCATAAAAAACATCTTGATGCTTTACAGATCTGTTGCCCATTACAACTTGGAGGATGGAACCATTCTGGAAACCACATCTAACCCTTTCTGGGCGACTTGTTTGTTCATCAAACATTGCGAAGCTGAAGATGAACAGAAGAGAAACCCAGATAATCCCGATGTTCAAAACTGGACAAACAAGTCACTGACCCGAAAAAGGACACTTCTGTCTGTCCTCTTCAACAGCAAAAAGTATGGGTTAAACATTTTCTTGATTAACATGATTAAATTGGATATCTGAATATAAACTAGTATTGGTTGTACTTGTATGCCAACAAAAGTAATCTGCATTTTGACAGTACATGTATTAAAAAAAAAGTGCACATACATGTACATGTAAGTATTTAAAAGATTTTGATCATGCAATGTTTTAAATCTTAAAAGAATTCATCATACAATGTGTAGTTAATATGAATCAAATTTTTATTTCAATTTCATTATGAAGTGAGTTTCAGAGCCAGCCACCCCACTTTCCTACCCTGGATGACTTTGTGGGATATCTGAACAACCTGAAAAAGAAGGGGGCCACAATGAACCCTTACTACACACAGCGCCACTTAGGAGAGATGTACCAGGATTACCTTGACCTTGATGTGGGACGTAGTAGTGACCCCTTAGGATCCTTTATCAACAGATATGCTGCCAAACTTGGATATAGGCAACCAGGTTTATCATTGCTACTCTTTTCTGCAGAGGAAATTAGATTTATAGAGGAAGAATGTTTTAATGAAATGTCTTGAGCTTTCTCAGTGAGTTTTATAGTTCAGTAGAAATGAAGCTGGGAGAATTTTTCTTTATCTGTTTTCTGTCAATCTCCATTCATCAGTTTTACTTTGGTGCAAAAAAAAAAAAAAAGGAAAAAGGAAAAAAAAGAAAACAACTCAAAATTACAAAATTTAAAATAATCTGCTGGCTTATCATATGGTGTATCCAAATTAAACTTATGCTGTATGGAACATATTGCAAGTATTATACAGTGAATTTAAAAAAAAATTATTTGAAGTACTGAACAAGTGTCATACTGCCTATGGATCAATTTAAAAACCATTTCAGTGATTTTACAGAACATCTGCTATGCACAATAACAATTCATTAATGAAAACGTGTAGATGCAGGTGATGGTGAAAACAGACCTCATGTTGGAGGGGCAGGCAGAAGGGCTGCTAGGGGTGGTGGTAATGGTGGAGAGGGGCCCAGACAACCCAGAAATAGACCTGTGGCTAATAGGACCAAAGTAAAGCACCAAATATTTAATTAATAGAATTCTGCCTACCAAACACTCTCAATGATGCAATTTTCAGTACATAAAGTACTTTGTCTTTTCGCAGGAGATGACTTGTGATGACTGTGAAGGCACCTTAGCAGAGCTGTATTGTGGGGAGTGTCAGAATGCCCAGGGAGGACAGGGTCTTTACTTGTGTACCCCATGCTCACAGCTTATTCATGCCGGTGCTGCGAGGAGAAGACACAATGTTCAAGGTAATGCAATCAGAAATATTAAGGGGAAAACTTACTTTGCAATTATCTCCCATTAATTTGTTTAATGTTTACCCTCTTTCTTGATTACAGATGTGGGTAATGCTCCTAAAGTTTCCAAACCATATGTTCCTCATGTAAGTTGACAAAAAAATCTTTTTAGCTTACCTTGACAAAGTCGAGATGAACAAATGTTAAACCCCATGTTGGTGTCCCAGTTAAAGTTTTAGGAGCAGGTCCATTCTCCAGAAACTATAAGATCTACCCAAACCAATTTTTCATGGATGATGCAACTAGGAATGTCTCTGCCAGAGTTTTATAATTGTATTGTTTTTCACAATGAATATGTAGAAAACAACTACAGTTGAACTTCAGTATCTCAAACTCCGATATATCGAATACCATGCATATATCGAAGTGATTTGGAAGTTCCAACCACATATTCTTTAAGTATTTAACCTTCAATATCTCGCATCCTCGGATATCTCAAAGTTTTTTCTCAGTCCCATCAGGTTCGAGATAACAGAGTTTGACTGTACATGTATGTATTCACAGTTTTATCTACTTATTTACAGGCTTTTAAGGCACCATTTTCCATTTTGCTTGGCTTATACAGGTAAACATCCAAATCAATTCTTGCTGCATGTAGAAAAACATTAATGTGCCCTTACTTTAGGTTAGGAATTCTACATTTGTGTTTTATTATAAGTGGTCTGACAGAGAGGAGGCCGGTTCTGAGTATGACCGAGGACGAGATCAAGCTCCGGGCCCAACCACTGACAGATACAGATCTACAGGACAAACAGACAGGTAGACAGGGTCCTCTGATTACAGATACAAATAGTTACATTACCTGTAGAGGTGTAAGGAATTGTACATGCATTTACAGAGAAATTATGTTGTAAATATTTTCTTGCTATGCCAAACTTTTAGTTAGATGTAGTTATGCCAATTATTTAAATCTGAAATACCTTTTACATAAAACAAAAGTAATTGTACACAAAATAAGAATTGTTGATAAATCTGGAAGTTGACATTTACACGGTTTTTAGGTCAGTACTGTGGGGGATTTGATTGTATGGAGAAGATACTCATGGCCAAAGGTCTGGTTCAGAGAGAAGATTCAAGAAACCCAACGTAAGTCAGAAGTAATATCAGAACTTCTTGAAAAAATATAATTTCAGATTTGTTTGAATTGCTTGTATTATAGAGAGATGTGTAGATTTAATCTTGGGTAATTCAGAACCAATGTCAAGATCTAACTTAAACAGCTTGAATGAGAGAAGAAAGTGATGTAGGGCACAAATACAGGTATATGGGATGTAAACCCAGAATCATAGCTCTTGTAAAAAGGTTATCTTGTTCAATCCTGTCTGCCATATTTTTGAAAACGTATGATATTTGACATGTAGGTTGTCTTGATACAATGAGTAATGCAACATCACATCCCACAACATTTTCAAGTCTATCTGGTTCAGTTTTGTATCTTTGAACAAAAACAATATATACATGTACAAGAGTGTGTATTATGTTACAGGTATGCATTAACAGAGACAGGGGAAGAGCTAGCTGGCCAGTTGTATGAATTTCAACAGAGTGTACAAAGGTTCCTGAAATCAAATCAAGTTCCTCATGTTCCACAGGCAATAAAGTAAGTGACAATTTTGAATTTTGAACCAAATAAAAAGGATTAATTCGGATGAGTTTTCTTGCATTACAACAAATGAATGTCTTTGTAGCACTGTGTGTGGCACGAGGAAGATCTGTCTGATTATTGATGAGCAGGAGAGAGACAAGGACAGGTTCCACCAGATTGCTACAGAGAGAGGGGTGGATGTACAGTTCAGACATCTGGGGGCAGGGGACTATCTGTGGATTCTGACCCCTCCTATGGCTAGCCCCACCCTGAGGTACACTCAGCAGCAACCTACTATTGAAAAGGTTTGTAAATCTTTGAAATTATTTTTAATTCAGGCCATCTGACTTGTTTTCTTCACAAACTTTTATTAAAATAATATTTTTAGAATCTTGATGAACTATCTAGAATTCACTTTCCAGGTTTTACCTTTCCTTGTTGAGAGAAAGAGCTGGGAAGATTTTAAGGACAGTGTGAGGACTAAAAGATTTCAGAAACAAGTCAATCATATGCTGGTAATGTACTAATTACTAAAAACCAACTTTTACTTACATCTAGGAATTTTGCCATCTTCTTATGCTCACAAATATTTCTTGCAGCAAACTTTTTACTTCAGTATTCCTTTGTCATGAAAATTAGTCAAATCATGAAAAAAAGTTGTCACAAAGAAAAGTTGGATTACAGTATTTTGATTCATATTCATGTATTTAGCTAGATTATATTAAGAAATTTAGATTTGCTAAATCTTGTACTTCTCTCAGATCTGTTGTAAGTTGTATGTGTTTGTAGAACAGTGGAGTGGAGAAATGTTTCTACCTGATGGAGGGTTCTGTAAATAGTGGCAGATACAAACCATCTGCTGAGCAGCAAAAGAATCTAAAGGTATTAACAGAGGTTTATAGAATTCCATGAGTTACTTATGGATATTGTGATATAACTAACAAGGCCACTGAGATGTGAACATGAACCGAAGTGTTAATCATTGACAGTATCAGTAGCTAACATTGATGCATACCAGTGTCTTTTTAGTCAACTTTCGCAAAAATATACTTCATTGTTGAAAATGGAAACATAATGTTACCCTCAAATGCAGCATTTCTATAACATTTGATGATAAAACTGAACAAAAACCATGTTAAGTTGTGTAGAAATATCTGAATTTGCAGCATATACAAGTACCCAGTGCAAGTCAAATTGTGTTTATTCATGATAAATTCCTCTGTAGGATTTACTTGAGAAGATTTTTCTGGATAATGGATTTTACATCAATTACACGGCTTCCTGGTATAAATCAGCAATATGGTTATTGTGGGCAACAGCACTAGCATCTGAGGCTGAAAGAAAAGGTTTGTATAGTGAAAAGTTACTCATTTTCTTGGTTAGAATTAAAGATAATATATGTGTTTAATTTTATTTAATACATACACTGGTTTTGGATCAAATTCATAAAAAAATGACTACTCTGCTGGTAGATGTACATGTGCAATAGATATAGCAGTAAGTTGCTTTATTAGGCCAGCTGACTGGACAAGGAATGACCTATGCTGAATTTACAAGGAGAACAAGTGGACAGAGCCGCGTATCTACCCTGACCAGGACAGACTACAGACAGATGGACTGGAGAAGCTGGGAGGCCGAACATTTTATTGATGGAATCTTCAGGTGAGTTGTCAAGGCTGGAAACTTTAATATTCCTATCAGAAAAGAAGGGTTTATATTTGTGTGGATCTGAATTGATTTGGTTAGCTGTATTTTCAAGATAGTTTCACAAAGTTACAAATTTTATGTGTTTTTTTTAGGTCACCTGAGTAACTCAGGTGACCTATTGCTATCCGTTTTCGTCCGTCGTCGTGCGTCGTGTGTCGTGTGTTAACATTTGAACATTTTCAGTTTCTTCTCTGAAACCACTGAACCAATATCAACCAAATTTAGTATACAGCATCTATGGCTGAAGGGGAACAAAAATTGTGAATCTCATGGTCCCCGCCCCCCTGGGGCCTGAGGGGTGGGGCCAAAACCACTAAAATTATTGCAATCTTTAAAAATCTTCTTCTTTACCCGTGGACATCAAGCAGGCAAACTGTTGGCATGAATGTAATGAGCATGTCCTCTACCAAAATTGTGAAATTCATGGCCCCAGGGTCAGGGGTTCTAGTGCTAGGGCGGGGCTATATAGATTATATAGTGAAAATGCATGATTTCTTTGAAAATCTTCTTCTCTGCTCCTGGGGATTAAATAAACTAACTAAGTACATGTACATAGTTATGCATCTTCCCAAGTCAAGAGTTTCTGATCCGCTCCGCTCCACATAAACCCTTGACCGAATAGGCTAAGTTTGACGGGGTTTACTGTCACGCCATCTAGTGAGATTACACATTTTGAACTCTACTGACCTCTGCTATTTAAACGAATTCAACAGAGAATTCGAGATAATATTGGAAGTTTGTAATAAATTTGATATAATTCAACTAAAAATCTGAGTCAAACCTTTAACTAGGCTATTTAATGATAATGACCGTTATCCTTGGGACTAAAACTGGTTCATGAAGACTTTCATGAGGCCAATGAATAAATATTTAAACTTAGCCTATTCGGTCAAGGGTTTATGTGGAGCGGATCAGAAACTCTTGACTTGGGAAGATGATAGTTATGATGAGCTAGAGTGCCTCTTCCAGATTTGTGAATTTTATGGCCCCAGGGTCAGGGGTTCTGGTGTTAGGGCGGGGCTCTATTGATTATATAGTGAAAATGCATTAATTCTTTGAAAATCTTCTTCTCTGCTCCTGGGTATTAAATAAACTAACTAAGTATATAGTTAGGCGACTATAATTTGATTTTTAGTTTTACGGATTTTTTTTAAAGAAAGGTCAAGTCGGAGGACGAAAAAAAAAAAAAAAAAAAAAAGACAAAAATCATGCTAGCAACGACCTTTTTCACAAATAAAAAGTCACACATTTCACTGTAGCATAAAACAAAACAAAAAAACAACTTACAAGATATGTTTTTTTTAATATTAATACACATTACATGTATAAATGTTGTTATTTATAAAAATTACAACTTTTAATTCAAACATTGTTTAATATGAGTACCATGTAATATTTGAAATTATAAAATTTAATTATGTTCTTCACTGTATAGTTTGCACATTCATTTGAGTGTCATTTGAATAATATTCAGGGTAAATATCGAAGTTTAACTTGGCAATTAAACGAATTAATAATATTCTGCAGACGGTCTGAGTTTCCAGCTTTTAACTGATGGATGAATGGATTTTTCTCATTATGAGGAGCAAGAGAATTGTTTCCTGGATTTAATAAAGATCTGAAGTTGAAGGAATTGGAAGTACCTGTTAGCCAAACTTAAAACTTAACACATTTTTAAAAAATAACATGCGTAATCTATTGAGAATGAATTAGATAGATTCTGAGATCCTGCATTCTTTTTTTTTTTACTCTTAGTACATATGATATCAATAATCAAAGCATTATTGTAGTCCTGTTCCAATCTGCTAATATTATATTTTGAAATTCAGAAACTTTATTACCCTGTTTAGCTACATAAATTCGAAGAAGTCTTCTAGAGGTACTGTCAAGTTGCTCTGCAGTTTCAAGGGCTTTTATATGCTGGTGTTGATGTAGGATTTGCTAAGTCACTGAATCTCATAATCCGCGGTGTTCCCTCTGCAGACTCTTTATTAGTTACCATGTACTTGCTTTCATTTCCTCTTTAAATTAATAATAAAGTACTGTAGTTCATGTCTTTCCTGATCACCGTATTATTTATGGAGGAATTGTTTTGTTTTATGCGCATATAAACTTGTTTGCAGCAAAGTATCAAGTAAATTCATATCGTTATTTACCGTCCTTTTTTGCAAAATTTCCACATCTGGTATCTCTGTCTTTGATAAAAAACACTTTTTATGAGGATAATGAGCAATTAGAACTGCAATTACATCTGGTAGCACAGTTGACACCTTGATTATCACCTGTTATCAGTGGCAATAAGCATTATTAGCTACCGGTAAACACTGCATGACCGCCATTTTTGTTTTTGACTTGTCGGTATTTTACAAATCGAAGAAGGTAAAAAAGATTTTTTATTAGAAACAGCAATTAAAAAAGAGAGAGAGACATGCAATGGGGAGGGTTCAGAATTGTTAGACTCTCGATAAAATCAAAGTTGACAGCTCACCTTCTTTTACCATTCTGCACATGTGTTTTTTTTACGTTTCTGACTGAATTGCTTTTATAAAACACAGGTTTGACACGAGCGGATTGAAAAATTCCGATTTTTTTTTTTTTTTGAAATGCAAATTTTTAGAGTCGGCGGATCCGTAAAACTAAAAATCAAATTATGGTCGCCTTATGATGAGCAAGAGTGCCTCTTCCAGATTTGTGAATTTTAAGGCCCCAGGGTCAGGGGTTCTGGTGTTAGGGTGGGGCTCTATTTATTATATAGTGAAAATGCATTAATTCTTTGAAAATCTTCTTCTCTGCTCCTGGGTATTAAATAAACTATCTAAGCACATAGTTATGATGAGCAAGAGTGCCTCTTCCAAAATTGTGAATTTTATGACCCCAGGGTCAGGGGTTCTGGTGTTAGGGCAGGGCTTTATTGATTATATAGTGAAAATGCATTAATTCTTTGAAAATCTTCTTCTCTGCTCCTGGGTATTTAATAAACTAATTAAGTACAAAGTTATGATGAGAAAGAGTGCCTCTTCCAAAATTGTGAATGTTATGGCCCCAGGGTTAGGGGTTCTGGTGTTAGGGCGGGGCTCTATTGATTATTTAGTAAAAATACATTAATTCTTTGAAAATATTTTTATTTGCTTATGGGTTTTATTCCAATGATCCAAGTATATATATTAATGATGAGGAAAGGTGCATCTAGCAAAGTGGTTTTTATGCCCCCTGGGTGAGAGGAAAACTGAAAATAAATTAATGCTTTGAAATCAGCTCTTTGGTTATAATCAACCATTTTATGATGAAATTTTCAAAATTTTGAAATATGTGGCCCCTGGGTCAGTGGTTCCTTTGGGGTGAGGTGCACAACTTGGTATAAAGTGGAAGTGCATTTTCTCTTTGTTACACTGATCTACTTCTGGGTATAAGTAAATAGAGTAAGGCCAAAGTTTTTTTTTCTCTTGGTTTACGATTCCGCCGACCCTATTTTTCCCTATTTACACACTCGAAATTTTCTTGACCAAACCAAAATTTACAACACATCTTAATCATTAACCCAAACTCTCACAAACAGTCAATGAACTCTACAAATACAGATTGTCAAACCACATTGCCAATATGACCAATGCATCGAATACTCCGTCGGAACTCCTCTAGATTTTACACTTCTGGTTATGAAAAAGTCCATCGTTACAAGTTATACACACAACAAGACGCAAAACAGCTGGACAGCTATCAATGTCATGCTAAAGATGTTGGAGAAGATTTAAGATCTTTATTATTGTCAAATAATTAATTCATGCTGTGAATACAGACATATTTTTACTGATAAATTGTAAAGTTATTAGCTTTCTAAGAAGTTACACATCAGAAGACAGATTCGATAAACATAAGAAGCTGTTCAATTGGCATGCAGGTGTGCATCAAAACTTTTATTAGAAACAAAATTTTATATTGAAAACAAGTTTGAAGAGAAATTAACAAAATTAAGACTATGCCAAAAGCCTGGAAATCTAATGAGAAGAAAAATTTTAGAAGTTTAAAATTGTACTACTACATGTATATAAGAAATGAAAAAAAAAAAGTTTGATAAACAATTAATCTGACAATAAGAAACTTTTACAGTTTAATAGTAGTAGTACTAAATTTTATTTAATGTCAATGCTGTTTTATTATTTTTTCTAGATATTTATATACCTTGTAATTGGGGGAAACATCTTTTAAGATTCTTTTTATATTTTTTTAATCATTTTTAAATAAAATGTTTATACAGAATTTTTTTTAAAATGTAATGTAAGTTTTAAACAATGAAATAGTTTTATAACGATTAAAGTGTGCCATGGCACCAGAAGTCTACCTAAATTTCAATACTTCTTAAATTTCTTTGAGGGAGAAGTGAAGTCTCCTTAATCGGGTGGGTCTAGGTTGGTCCCTGGACACACATATCTAAAGGTAAAGGTTTGTGAAAGCAATCACTTTCGGAGTTTCCAAAAATGTTTTCGTAAGTGGAAAGGCTGACCAGAGAATAGTTAATTTGCTTAATTTTACCCATATTTGTCCCTGTGCAATATATGTGTCTATTATGGAAACTCAGACTTGTAAGTCGGAAGAATGAAAACCATCAACAGTAACAGAGCCTGATACTCCCATTTCTGTTCTTGAGTCATTTGACGTATGGATTCATTTTTCTTGACTTAATAAACCGAATGATAAGTAAAACAATTTTAAAAGTTGAAAAATCTTGTGTGTTTATTATTATTATTTAAATACATTTTAATGCTACTCGAGAAAAAAATATGTCAAGGTTCCAAATTATTTTTATTTTTATTTTTCGACCACCCAATGCATATTTTTGTGTCAAAAAATCGTAAACCAAAAAAAATAAAAACTTTGGCCCAAGCATGCTAAGTTAATAATTATGAAAAGCAATGGTGTGCCTCTTTCAAAATTGTTAATTGTGAATTTCATGGCCTCTGGTTTAAAACATGAACCAAATTTAATTGTTTGAAAGTTGTTACAAAATACTCAGGTGACCTATAAGGCCCGTGGGCCTCTTGTTTAAATTTTGAAATGTTTGATTAATTAGAAATCTGTTTCCAGGGACAGTGTCAATGAGATATCTCTTACTGAGTTATGTCAAAAGGACCTGGGACTTGCAGAAAGACATGTCATAAACATTCATGGGTTAGAGGCATATAACAAGGTACTATTTATATCATGTTGCATTTAAAGTTGCATAATCCTAGCTAGAGAACAGAAAATTTATTTTATCAGTATTTTCACAACAATACACATAAATAATTGGAAAATTTGATTGATTAGGGGAGGCAGACAATGCTGAATAAATATTTAAATGAGGCATGTGGAAATCCAAACAGAATAGCAGGTATGTTACATGTGAAATTAATTGTTAGTGGCTTAAAACAAAATGGAGTTATAAGAAACATTTGAACTGGTTCAATATGTAGAATTCTTCTATTGTAGACATCGTAAACACAGGCCTGACAGCTCAGTTACACAACATGCTACACTATGATGTCATGTCTTGGTGGCAACTCAGACTTCAGGTATAATATAGTAAAATGTAATAGATATGTATACTGTTGTTTGAGCTTTGGCAAAAACTATGTGGTCAACTGCATTGTCAATCTATCTATGGTATAATGTACCAGAGTAAAAGATGTGAAACAAGCTAAATGATATACCAGTACTCAGAAATACAGGGGAATCTTTGTCAAGCAATCTATTTGAGATGTTTAAGATCAGGATGTTTTTATACATTTTACATGTATTATTTGTAATGTGTAAAGGATTGCTGGAATAAGTTAATTTTGTATTAAGATCTGTAATTCTGAATGAAACAAAGGTTTTCAAGTCTGACCTGAATGTATTTGAAATGTAAATTTGGGTAAGAATGATAATGGTGACTTGTTCCTAATGCACATACATGAAGTGGTAAATGTTAATATCCCAACATTCTTGGATTTTAAATGTTAATACTGATAGAGATATTAACCCACAACTATGTAAACATGCATGATGTAGTTTGGTGGTTTTTGTAACAGATAATATTTCTCTGTGTTACAGTTTATGCTTGGAGTGTACATAGTGAGGACTGAGAAACCAGAGGATAGACAGAGAATTCAGGGGGAGGTAGACTGGAGGTCAGGAGGTCAACCACCCAATAACAGGAGGTCAGGAGGTCAACCAGTCATAAACAGAAGGTCAGGGCAACCAGGTCAGGACCAGAGACCAAGGCAGCAAGAGGACAAAAATGGGAGGTCAAGGGGTCATGTACTGGGTCATGGTTAGTTTATGTTCTGTGCACACAGTAGTAGTGTTGTAAGGAAAATATAAATTTGCTCACAGTTTGTGATTTATCAATAAACTGCAAGTCCTTAAAATATTATCACTTGAATTATTTTTTTTAAGGAAGCTCTAAACACTTCACACACAGGTGTTCATATTGAGATCTATAAAATTTTCTTTTCATATGAATTCACAAAATTCTGTAATGATAAAAGAGGAACTTGTCCAATCAGACAAAGATGTCTATCTAGACATACTTGTACTTGTGTAATCACAAAATGATCTGGATATGGACAATCAGACAAATGTTAATGTTGAGTCCTGATTTGTATGTATATAAATACACATGTGTATAAATTACATGTATAAGCATTTATTTCTATGCTAATCATAAATCAAACATTACTCTTGTAGGCCCAATAGAAAGATTTGCTAAGGAACCAAATGAACTCATGGCAGAGTTACCTTCCACCTCTGCTCCTACAGATGCTGCTCCAGATCCCAAGTTGGTGTATGCTCCTGATTCTCAGACAGAAAACTTTATGATACAGCAGGTAAATTGAGTCTCATGATTGAGTAAAACTTATACATTTATATTACTGTGAACACTGCTCAAATCACATTCACCAACAGAGTAAAATGAGCAATGTGTTTAAACTGATAAATTGTGATTAAAAACATATTGCATTTATTTGGTTAAAGAGGTTTTTAATCTGACACCTGTTCCATAGGATCAAGTGATATCTTTCCAGATGAAAAATTTTCAATCATCTGTATGTTTATTTTAAAATATTTACTTTTCCAGATAATTTTCATTAAAATTCTTAGCAGATAGGACAATCTGAATAAAATCAGCTGTTCTGATATGCTACCGTTTAAGAACATCGTTCGTAAGCGGTAGCTTATCAGAACAGCTGATTTTATTCAGATTGCAGATAAGAAGAAAGAGTGGATGAGCATAAATATCTCCAAGAATTCCATACTTGACTTCAAAACTATTGTACAAACTGTTTTGTTTTAAGAATGACATTTGAATGAAAGATAATGTAAATACATGTATTAGAAATTAATAAAATTTTTGAAGATTCATGAGGTATGTGAACTACAACGCTTCAAGTTGGCATATTTATCAATTGCTAATATGCCTTATGAAATATGCAGGTAAGAATCGTAGTAGTTTGTAACCTCATAATTCTTCAAAAATTTAATTCATTTCTTAATTGAAATACTTTCAATTAGTCATGATACAAAGCATCTCTAATTCTTAAATTTTTCCCTATGAACATCAGCACCAGGTACCCTGGTATTAAGAAGTTATTGATAAGCAATACAGTGTGTATGAATCACCCTCTTTACAGTTAAAAATTGAAAAGCGTACATTAGTAATAAGACCACAGGATATATTGTACATGTATATCTTGACAAGTTACTGCATGACATGATTATCCTTTAAAAGCATTTAAGGCCTCATTGGCTTTATTTTTTCATTTTTTTGTATTTCACTGAATAAGAGACATCCATTCTCTTTTAAAGGCATTAGCTCTAAGCAATCAGGAGGATGCTGAAGAACAAAACAGAGCATTACTTTCCCCAGTAAAACAGCCATCCCCTGCACAAAAGTCGGTAAATAATAGGTCACCAGCCTCAGTTTCAAAGAGAGGGTCTAGAGGAGGCACTAGATCAGGTAAAGATATGTAAATGTTTGTAAAAGTTGAATTTCTTCATTTGACATTTCATTTTTGTATAGTAAATGCAAGAGCAGGGATTTAACATGGGAAAAGTGACATTGGGGGTACATGTTTATTGTACTGTATCATAAAATATTCAATATTAATATAGATAAGAGGTGCTTTGCTAAGTTCAATTCTTTTTATTCTTACATGCAGTCTAACATTTCTATTTTTAATCATGTGCAAATACTGTATACAGAGTAAATTTTCGCTCCGCTTTATTTTCGCCATTTCACACATGCAAACAATTTTGCTCCGTTTTAAATTCGCCCAGTCAGTTTTGTTTAAGAAATTGTACTATGTTCTTTGAATTCGCCCCTTTTTCAATTCGCCCAACTGAGGTCAGGATGAAAGGGGGGAAAATAAAACGGGGGCGAAAATTTCGCTGTATATAGTAGTAAAACTTATTTTTTTGTAACAGGGAAAAGGACATCAACAGCATCAAGGGAGGATGAAGAGTTAGAACTTGCCATAAAGCTTAGTCTGGAAGTTGCTGCAAACAACAGAACTAGTGAGCCTGCAGAAAGAGACAGCACTGACCCAGTGATGTGTGATACTACACCTAGTCCAATGAAATCCAAACAAACAATCATTCCACTAGAACCGAACCTAAATATGGACAGCCAAGAAGAGTTGCAATATGTTTTAGAGTTAAGTAAGAAAACATCAACTGACAAAGAAGAGAAAAAGAAACCTATCAGCAATGAACTCAATGATAGGCAGCATTTAGAGCCGACAAAAATCAGAGAGCAATTGCTTCCTTCTCACTCGAATAAAGATAATTCAGAGGTACAAAGTGGAAAAATCAATCCTGTAGACAAAGCTCTTTGTGGAGTTGAGAAAGTGACATCTGAAAGCAGTGAAGATGAGGCTCTGAAGAAAGTTCTAGAATTAAGTATAAAGCAAAATCTGCCTCCTATAGACAAAATATTAAGTGCTCCACAATTAGATAAATCAAGAACTTCTATGTCCAAAAATCAGACCATAAAAAGTCCAGTTGTAAGTCTCAGTGATCAAGGAGACAAGGATCTTGAATTAGCTATCCAACTCAGTTTACAATCAAATTGTGAACATAGTCCACATAATGAAGGAGTCAGCATATCAGAAAATGATGTGATTGAGATAGAGGACTCTCAAGAAATTTTTGAGGATCATTCAAAGGCATCGCAGAAGACAAAAGACTCCAAAGAAAATGACTATATTGTATTGGATGACTCTCAAGAAGAAGCAGTAGAGAATATGGATGTTAATGCAGTGATATGTATGACAAATGATTTGATAAAATCAAATAATTTAGAAACAAATGCTAATCAGTTGATTGCCATAAAAGCAACTGAAAAAGGTGGAGGATGTTTAGCACCAGACACCCAGATTGAGAGAGAACAAATAAATGAGGAAAGTACTCTCACTGTTGTACCAGAGACTGTGACAGAAGCTGAAACAATATCCGCCTCTTTACATTCTAATGAATCAACACTGGAGCCAGAGCCATTCTTACCTAATGTGGTGCAGAACAGTCAAAATAAGGTGGTAAATAATGACAGTATTGGTAGCAATACCTATACAGCAAATGCAAAAACATCAAATGGAGATATAACTAGTAACAATGAAAATTCTGTGATATCAAACAAAACACCTGTCAAAGAATCTGATGATGCTGAAAATGATGTGTTAGATGTCATTTCACCCTCTCCAACAAGCAGTCAAAAGTCTAGTTTTTCAGTCAAAGCATTTAAAACTAGCCAAGAAAAACCAAAAGAATCAAATTCTGAAGAAGAAAATGTGAGGATTGGAGACAAGATACAAAAAGATAAAGTTAGTGAAAAACATAGTGAGAGCAATGATGGAGACTCACAAGATTTCCTCTCTACAGCTGTGGTGCTTCCACCTTTGTCTCCATACAAAGATGACAGTGATTCTCCTTTATTACAAGAAAAGTCACATTGTACTTCAAGATCTGATGAGAATTCTCAGCCACATTCTGTGAAAGTGAAGCAAGAAAAGTTGGATGTGATAGAAAGTACCATAAAAAATGAAGAAATTGTGATGGACAGTCAGACTTTAGAGGGCAGTCAGGAAGAATTACCTAAATTTGATTGGATAAAGGAATCTCCTGTCAAAATGGACCAAATCACTGTTCAGGTGGTCTCACCTTTGAAAAAGGGAAATAACTCTTCCTCAGATACTGTCAAAAGAATTAGTTTGAGTCAAGGATCAACATCTAACATCAATATAAATATTCACATTGGGCACATTGAAAAATCTAGTCAGTCAAGTTCAAAAGATGTTATTTTTGATGATGAAGAATATGCAAGACGTCTTCAAAAGGAACTGGATGAAGAATATGAACTGTCAAAACAGAGAAATGTACCCATAAAGATGGAGACAAGATCTATCAAAGAGGAACTTAAAAGCCCTGAAAAGGTTATTGACAATGCCTGCAGTGTGATACAGGATGATTTTCATGAGATTGATGCAGCAATAGCTCAAAGTCTTCATGAAGAAATAAACAGTCCTGCACCAAAGAGGGATAGGACATTACTAATACAAGATGAGATAATGGCAAAACAACTTAATGAAGAGTGGAACAAATCAAGCAGTGTTGGTAGAAACAATGGAGTGCCTGGCACTAGAATGGTGGAAGACGAGGAGTTAGTAAGAAGCTTACAGAGCGTTGAGACAGAGAGTCAGGAGGAGAGAAACCAACAGATTCACAGGGATGAAGAACTGGCACGCCAGCTTCTGGAGTCAGGTGATAACTACACATCTACAGGTAAAATCCTGATTTATTCATTCATTTAAATATGGACTTTTAACTCCCTTTCCTTTGACGTTTTAATTGAAAATTTCCTCCTCCAGTAAATGTTAAAAGTAAATTTTTGAACATGAAATAAATGCATTTAATGCATGTACAATAATTGCTCCCTTGTTTCTTTTGTAAAGGATTTAGAGTTTCATCTGCAAAGAAAAGGAAAGGTCTTCTAATAAACGACAGTCCTCCCAAGGAGAAAGTGTCTAGAAATGAATCATGGAGAAAAAATCTGTTTAATGAAAACATGAAATCAAGGGGAGACAGTTTGAAACAGGTATTAAGGATTATTTAGAACTCACTTGAGTCAGAGGCTCAAGTAAGCTATTCTGATCAAAGATTGTCTTGTGTTGGTTTGTCATGTCTGTCAGTCATGCCATATAATCTGTTTTCGTGTAGCCCTCAGGAAAAATGTTGGATCTTAAGGGGGGGTCAAAGAGGAACATAGGGATATATATGAAATCAATTTTGAAAAAATTCGGAGAACAATAATTGAATATGCAAAATTCCCCATGTAGCATGATTTATTAAAGTAAATTAATGCCCAAAGAGGAAGAAGTGTACATGATTGGCCACAAAAAAAGTTCAACAAAAGAATATGTTGAAAAGATTCTCTGAAAATTTTTCCAAAGATACACATTGATTTATAGCATCTTTGCATAATGTTCACACAGATTTGTGCTTGCTCTTCCCAGAGGATAGGTACAGAATTTTACAAGAAAAACAACTGACTTCCTCAAGAATAGTTCTATGATTTGTTAACTTGATGTACATGTAGTGTCAAGCTTCTGTATACAGTGAATTAAAATTGTTCAAACCATGAGAGGGACATAAACAGCTAAAACATGAGAGCACATGTTGATTGATAGATAAATCTTTTGGTATTTGGGATTAAGAAATTGTTAGTGGCCCATATGCCTTTTGTGAATTCTGTTTTTGATTTTGATATGGCATAATTTACTTTTTCAGTTACGTGTATTTTTAGGCAATCTTTAGTAGAGAATATAAAATATTCCCTCAAAGATGTTGACAAAAAACTGAAAAGAAATGCTGTTACAGCAGATGTTTAAAACAGAATAATTTATATTATATCTATTGTAGCTTCAGGAGATAAGACAAGAACAGAGTCAGAGATTCCTAAAGGAAAAATCAGGATTTAGTGGTGTTGGTTCCCTGAACAGTTCACCATGGAGCACTGGTAAAAACAAAGCATATAATTTATACTCCCTTTACTCATTATAACAAATGCAGAAATTGTACACTCAGTAGTACAGTATACTCATGTGCTGCTTATTCTTATACAGAATTATGATTACAGATAAATAAATATATAGAATTTCAGATTTGGAGATGCAGATGCATCTATGCATTGTCACATGAATGTCATCATTGAAAATCATATGTCTGATTGCACCACTGTTATTTTAGAGTTTATAGTACATGTACTTCACTTTCAAAATAAATTATTTATTTTATTACTTTCAGTGGAAACAAAAAATGTTAACACATCTTTCTGTCCTAATTCTACAATGGTTCAAGATTCAAAGACAAACAGAACTTTAGACTCTGGGGCAAGCAATTGGGCTTCATCTACCTTCCTGAGCAGAAAATCTAGTAGTGGAAATCAAGGGGAGGATGAAAAGCCTGTAATGGGGACACAATCAGAGGCCCTATCAAAGTCTAAGTGTGGGAACTGTGGAGAGATAGGGCACAACAGAAAGTGGGTCAGCTGTCCACTATACTATTCCCATGAGGAAAGCCTTAGAAGGCAGGTATGTATCAGTTAATATACTTGAGGTGCAAGCAAAATGTGAACTGCTCTGATTGTTGCCCTGCATGTCTACCTTGCAGATACTGTATAGCAGGTTAAAATCGCTGTCGGAAAAGATCGCGATTTGATCAGTTTTCTGAAATCGCGGTCGTTTGAATTCGCGGAAGAGAAAAATCATACATTACTTACAAGCATCTTTTTTAGGTATATATTTTGTGAACTGAGATTTCCTGTCTCTATCTTAAGAAAGTTTGTAAATGTATATCGTGCATATCAGGCAGGAAAGTCAAGTCTATATATTGTGTCGATGTTGATCCCGACTGAATAATAACGAAACACCGGACTGATTCCGATTTGAAGTTAAAATAATGCTATGCATTCAGATTTTTTAAAAAATTTCCCGGTCTAAATTAGAAAAAAAAGTATACTGCAGTCAAAATGTTGAACTTTTAATCATCATATAATTAAAATTAATCAATTGTCGTTACCGAGCTGTTTACTGCGTAAGTGCCTTGATTAAAGGTAATGACTGAGTGATACGCACGGGTAAAATTATCAAAACAAGCATGTTTTATTAAATAATTACATCACAGGTCTACTCAATGGCAAAACTAATCGTTAGCTATAGAAATTAATTTAATAATAATTAATAAGCTTAAAAAACACCACCAACTACGGGTATGTAGTTGATCCATACACTCGCTTAATTAAAAAGACAGTCTACATCTAATCACAGGAAATAATAAAATTTCAATTTATCCTTATAAATCTTTTAAAGAATTATTCACTGTATGTTGAATTCGCGGAATTTCTTTTTCCGCGAATATAGCGAAAATTAACTCCGCGAGTTAATTTCCTGCTGTACAGTAGATGTGTCATTATTTAAACCTAAGCACAAAAAGTAAAACTAGGTTTTGAATAAAGAGGAATATGTGTCGTTTAACTTTAATAGTCATCATAATAAAAGCTTTGAATAATTACATTCAGATGATTCATGTACTTGTAGATAAAATGTAGTTATTAATTCTTCAGGAACAGCAGGCTAAAGCTAGGGAAAGGATTGAGGCCAGAGAAAGGGAAGAAACTCAAGCAAAGCAGGACTTGGTAGGCTTTGTTTATTGAAAGTTTCAGACATGATGATGCCTATTAATTGTTCATTGTATTTTAAAATGTTTGTAAGACTATTTTAAACCATGTATTTAAACTAGTATTTTGACGACAGGGAAATCAAATTTCAAATAGGCCTAAGTATAAATGGGTTAGCTCTGTGTTATCCTAGAATATCTTTTTTCCAGGAACATCATCAAAGAGCATTGAAAGATATTGCAACTCAAATACAAGACGAACAGAAAGGATTAGAAAAGACAATTAAAAGACTGGATAAGAAGAAAAAGCAAAGAGAAAACAGGCGTCAATGAGCCATGGAAATTGATGTTGATGTGGCAGATTGTTATTCTTTTAAAATATTTGTGCTTTGTTTAATCCAAAGTTCTTGCATGTGGAAGATGAACAGATATGTGTGTAGCACTAAATTTTATGAGACAGTCAAGTGAGGAGGGGGTATAAAAGTCATTAAAAGTTTGATTTATATAATTATGCCCCCCTTCGAAGAAGGGAGGGCATATTGCTTTGCTGCTGTCTGTTGGTCTGTCGGTCCACTTAGTTTCTGTTCATTTTCTTCACAAACGTTGCACATATTGAAATGAAATCTAGTATACAGATTAAACATATGAATATCTAGGTCAAGTTCTGTTTTGGGTACGATTGTGCCATTTTTCACATTTATGCCCCTTGGACTTGTAAAAATTCCAATTATTTGCAGTTTCCGTTCATTTTCTTTGCAGAGGTTGCACATACTGAAATGATATTTGGTTTACAGATTTATCAGATGAAAATCTAGGTCAAGTTGTGTTTTGGTTAGATCGCGCCATTTTTGACAGAGTTATGCCCCTTGAACTTGGAAAAAATCCAATTGTTCGCAGTTTCCGTTCATTTTCCTCACAGCAGTTGCAAATACTGAAATGAAATTTAGTATAAAGAATTTTTTCAGATGAACGTGTAGGTCAAGATCTGTTTTGGTTACGATCACGCCATTTTTGACAGAGTTATACCCTTTTGGACTTAGAAAAATTCCAATTTTGGGGGGAGGGGGGCATAAGTGTTTTACAAACTTCTCTTGTTTTGTTTCAACCAAAGCTGAAAATTGTGATTATTTTGTTTTATATCAAATTTTTTCCCCAAATTGAAAATTTTATTTAGTTGTTAGTTAATTTTAGTGCTTTTCTTTTATTTTGTAATTGTTAATTGCATACAGTCAGTATTAAATGTTTCATTATGTTAAAAATTGATTTTTTTTTTTTTTTAAAAAAAACAGGCTTTGGAATAATCAATGGCTCAGTGGACTGGGGCCCATAAATTTTGGATTTGGGATAGTGCATTGTAGAGAGCATGTGCCCTTGGGACCAGTTATTATTTCAAATTTATATGCATATCAAAATTCTGATTCAACTGTTTCATATTTGAATATTTTAATTACTAGAAAATTTTAATGGTAACATACTAAAAACAAAGAACATTAACTTTTTTTAAAAATCATCAACTTCCCTTACTGATGTACATCTACACTGTAGCATTAAATTTTACCCTTATTGTCTTCATAGGGCGTTTATGTCTCTCAATTGATTTGATACGCAAGAACATGCCTTACAACGAACAATTTTAGAATGAGGCAAATTACTGACATAATTTTGTCAAGTTTATGAAACAAAAAATATCAACTGTATCATTTAAAGTCATCATTTGAAAAGTTCTAGTGTCGATTATAATGTCAGCAAAAAAAAAAATTTAATGATAATTCCATAATTTGCACACTGAATTGTCCACGGATTATTCCGTCTTTCCCAGTCAAGACAAGGAACACATGGCGGGTGTGACCGCGATCAGCAGGGAATGTTCACTCCTCCGTTGCACCTGATCCCACTTATGGTGTGTTAAGAGATCCGTCTTTTCTGTGCTCCTGATTTGTATTTGAATAGACATCAGCTTGAATAATTTTCATTATCTCTTTTATTTCTTTATAGCTACTTGCGACCTTATATCACTCAATTTAAAAAAATGAACAAGCTTCTTCCCGTTTTAAACAGATAAACTTTTTTTTCCCAAACTCTAGCGATACCGGGTCGAACTGCAGAGACGTAGCATCGGTTTTGAAAGTGGGGAGGGGGGTAGAGAAAAAAAAATTCAACTTACCTTGTTGTGTATAAATGAAAAAAACTAGAAACAAGTCAAAGATATACAGTCCAAATTAATTGAACGCACCCAGTCTAAATACAAAAACTGTGTACATAACACGAGTGTACTTCGTGTGACGGTACTTGTGAAGGGGGGGATTGTTTTAATATTTCTCATTAATACACTTCTTTCGAAGGATTAAGAATAAAGTTAAAATTCAAGGATGTGTCAATCAAACCCGCCAAAAAATTTGAAGTCTTAATAACTTTTAAATAAAAAAAGATTTTTAATTAATTTTTGTGTGAAATTTTTACTCTACATAACACTTATTTAACTAATGCTGCAACAAAAAGCGGGCCGGAGGAGTAGACTTTCCATGAGCATACTAGTAGTAAAAAGTTGTGTGTTGAGAAAAGGGTACTGCCCTCCCCTGATGCCACGGGCCACAGGTACTTGTGGAGAGGAACAACACCTCCCCCCCCCCCTCGATATTCAACCCCGGGGCTTATTGGACATTTTTTCACAAATTATATTTATAAGTAAGAGAGATCTCTTATAATGTATAGTGGCGTATTTTTTGTGGAGCGATTATTTTCGGGTTTTTACGATTTTTTCCTATTGTAAACATGATGAATAAGTGTAATAAATATAATAATTATTAGTGAAAAATATTCCAATAAGCCCCGGGGTTGAATATCGGGGGAGGGGGGATCCTGTCCAGTGACAAGTACCTGTGCTACGGGCTTAGTTTGTTCTTTGCTTGACGCTGATATAAACCTTATTCTACAGTCTTACTATATCATACAATTATGGAATCTTTTGGTGTTGGATATGGTTTATTATTCACCAACAAGTTATATCTATATTGACCGAGGCGAAGCAGTCAGGACACTTCGTACAGAACAGCTTCGGGGGTAGGGACACAGCATGTCAAACTTTTCAAAGCCAATTTTTGTCAAATAAACGAATTTTCTAACCACTTTACTTGTACGATGGATCCATGAGTTCATGGGGGGTTAGAATAAGATCTTTTTCATTACATTTACGTATATTGGAGCCCCCCCCCCCTCCCCCGGTACGGACCCCAACCTTAGTCTGCATATATAATTGAACCAAATAAAAAATGCATTTGAACGTCATATAAATTATTTTTTCCTCTCCAAAAATGGCTTAATTTTATTCAGTTAATGATCCTTGGGTTCATAATGAAATGCATAGCTGCAGAACTGTAGCTCTTCGAAAATAAATATTTTGACAGACCGGAGAGCTACAGTGCCACCCATTAAAAAGCTGTATATTTATTGCGCACAAAAAAAGTGCGCTGTTTCTCGATTTATTTCTCCATGTTTTTAAACTCATATCAAAATATTAGTAACCGTGTGTTCCTAGCATATTCTTTCACCGTTTCCACAACAAAACATTCCTTATAATTGTTGTTAAAAGCCCTCCTGGCCCTGAAATTGAGATCATCGAAAATTCCGTCTATTTATACTGCCATTTTGGTTTGCAAGATAATTCGGTCCAACGCAGTTCGCGCAGATGTCAACCACGAGAGAACTTCATAGAGGAATAAGGAATTTTTTCAAATGTATATTTTTCGCGATGGACGTAATAATTTGAAATGAAATAATCAAGAACTGAGTGCAAATTTTTGTGTGCAATAAATATACAGTTTTTACAATGGTGGCACTGTAGCTCTCCAATCTGTCAAAATATATTTTCGGAGAGCTACAGTTCTGTAGCTATGAAATGCAATGACGGTTCAAATATTCAGGGGGAAAAATGTTTTTAAAAATGTAATTTACTACAAAACTGACATAAGTTCGTTCCAATAAAGGTACTTTAATATAAGGTATAAAACAAATAAAATAAAATGGGGGCGAAAATTTCCCTGTATACAGTAATTCAAAATAATCATTTTTTTTCAAACATAACTTTTTCAGTGCTATTTGAAATGTTCATTGAAAGCCCGGTTGCCCCCCCCCCCCTTTTTTTTGTACGAGTAAGGGCCAGATAAGGGTAATGTAATTGTAGTATATTAGTAAGAAAATTTGGTATTACCCCCTTGAAATATTTGGGCACTGAATTTCATTGCATTATAGGCCCTAATACCGAAGTTGTCATCAATAAGTTCATGTACACAGTTTTTCATTGAAGACAGCGATTCAAATCTAAAATAAATTTGTCTAATTTTTTTTAAATTGATAATTAAATTTAAGATTCAAATATTTGAATTTAATGATTCAAAATTAATATTTTCTTATAATTCAAAATTCTATTTATATTCTTTCAAATGTAAATTATACGTAAATATCAAAGATAAATAAAAATTTTGTATATGATTCTATTTTTAATTTTCCTATATTTAGAACACTGTATATTAAAGAGCAATGACGAGTTGCCAATCACTTGATACACAGCGCACTGCGGAGCGTTTCTAAAATAAGAACACCATTGATTCATACTGGAATGTAATGCGCTTGCGCAGATAAGTGACTTCCGATTTATACACCCCGGAAACTGCAGGCTGAAAGAATATTACAAATCGTTGTTTTCCAAACAAACAGAGGTAATGAAAATAGATTCTTTGATTAAAATTAACAGAAGAAAAGTAACTTCCTTAAGATAAAGATTATACTTGTGTACAAAACTCTGTGAAAAGTTCATCCACTCTATCGCAAAATGGCGGAAGTCGCCCATTCTGTTTGGATGTCTTATGATACTTTCAGTGATCCGCATTATTTATGTCTTCTGTAAACGTTCATTGATATTAAACACGAATATTCTGCCCTAAATTCGTTTTTCACATTCACTGTATCCTGGGTGAAAGAGAAGTACTGGTAATTTAATGTTGGGAGTAGATGCAGTTGTTCTCAAGTTCATCAGAGATAAAGTATTGTTCTGTATTAACTATTAAACCATGGGAAAGAAATATTCATATGGTTATTTTTATTCTTTTCAATTTTAGAATATTTGTTATATATGTGACAAATATAGATGAGAAAATTTCATAGTTGAAGTCAAAACTAGGAATACTAAAAAGGTCCTATTAAAAAAGGGAGTGTCTACTTATTATCATGTTCATTCACCATAAATTATGTGCTAAAGAGTATGGTGACATTGAAAATAATATTCCCCAATTTATTATATACCCAACTGTGTATCGCTAAGGTTTAGTGTTGATTTGATGAAATAATCGAACTTTTTACATGCACACTGATTTTCTGCATCCATATCACCCTTCTCCGAAAACTGAAACACAAATTTGCCACAGCAGTATGTTTAGTCACATTTACTACAGTACATGTACTAACTTTTATATTTTTAATCAGTAAATATTATTTATTTAACATTTGATAAGAGAAAAAGCTTACTTTTGATATTTGTTGTAGTTCCCTGTAAGCCATGCAGACAATAAAGTGTGTAGTGGTAGGAGACGGTGCAGTAGGTAAAACATGTCTACTGATCTCCTACACAACCAACAAGTTCCCCTCAGAGTATGTACCTACAGTATTTGATAACTATGCGGTGACGGTGATGATTGGTGGAGAACCCTACACGTTAGGACTGTTTGACACAGCAGGACAGGAGGACTACGACAGGTTACGTCCCCTTAGTTATCCCCAGACCGACGTCTTCCTGGTTTGCTTCTCCGTCGTGTCACCAGCCTCTTTTGAAAACGTCCGAGAAAAGGTAATGCATTATGTTGGAAGCACATTGTCTTTGTATTTGTTTAAATATATTAAATTGTAAATTTTCTATCGGGGTATGATTTGATATCATAATAATTTATATTTGAGATGTTTTAGCTGTGTTTGTTATTAGTTACATTTTTAAAAGTGATGGTACAGCAGTTACAGAGATTTAAATATGTGCTCATGTGCTGAGTGTGCTCATCTCATTCTGCTTTACTAATAATTATGCTCATTATCTCATAGAGTACTAGCTCAATGTGCCATGAACACAAAGATGAGGGACACTATGTTAAAATATACAATGTATTGTGAAATGTTGCAAATTGGGCAAAGATTTATCAAATAAATAATGGCCTTTTATATAGCAAGCCAAACAATTAAACAGATAAATGTACATTTGTAGTGGGTACCCGAGATCACTCATCACTGTCAGAAGACCCCCTTCTTACTAGTCGGAACACAGGTAGATTTACGAGATGATGCAACAACAATAGAGAAGCTAGCCAAGAACAAACAGAAACCAATTACGTTTGAGCAGGGAGAGAAACTGGCTAGGGAACTGAGAGCTGTTAAATATGTAGAATGTTCAGCATTAACACAGGTAAGTGGAGGATGTAAATAGGGGGAAGATTTACATTACAGGTGATGTCCTTCTACTAATGGGAAAGCTTAAACAGTGTATATAGCAAAGACAGTCTCACAGGTGCTATTTGAATGAATTTCTATTCTTGCTAGTGGCAGTACTTTAAGTTTTCTGCATTGTGAAAATTAATATTGAGAAGGAATTTTTAAAGATGTATTTGATAATGATTTAAAAGGTTGATGAGTTTTTGTACACAATGAAAGTACCTGGAATGTGGAATGAGCTATATTGATGACTACTTAATAAACATCATATGCAGATGTTATGTATCACAAGTTGATTTTTATTTTATCTTTTCGTTTTCAGAAAGGATTAAAGAATGTCTTTGATGAAGCTATCTTAGCTGCTCTGGAACCCCCAGAACCACCCAAAAAGAAGAAATGTGTGATGTTGTAATCTGTGAACTTGAGTCATTTTCATGTGTAATCATAACAAAAGGTTTATGACTTCAATTTATCATCTGTGGAGAGATCTTGAGCAAAATCGAAAAATAAAAACCAATTTTATATGTCAGAATAAGCACTTTCACAGATGGATTATTTCAGGTTGGAGTTTCCTCTAGAAAAGGGATATTGAGGAGTTGGTATAAGTCAGGTGATTATTTCAAATCTCTAGCACAATGCTAGGGTTTTTTATCCCACAAGGGTCCAATTAACTTGTGATTTGTGAATATAAATTATTATTGACCAGCTTCTTCCCTTAATTTATTGTCTTCTGGTGCCAAAATGTGGAAGCGATCTGAGATTGTCATGTGTTCACCCAAGATGTAAAAGGCACCAGGTATTGCAATTCTCAAACATGCAGGTCTCGATAGAGAAATATTCTAGTTAATATGAACCAATAAAAATGACATGATATAAATTGAGTAATAATAAATAAAGCAATATTCTGCTGATTTTTATTTAGGTAATTATGTAATACCTGATAAAAATATATATCTATTAATACATGATTTATTTTAAGTACAAAACCCATACAAGGCACACTATGTTTTATTGGAAATTCTCTTTAGTTTGATGTGTTTCCTCTTTTCAAGTTGTATTCTCCTTGGCGTTCATTATACAATATTATATTATGTAGATAATTGTACAGGCTTTATAATTTTAAGACTCTAGGATTTAGTTTTGTTGTATAAATGGACTTGTTTTTATCTATTTAGGAAGTAAAGAGTGAGTGGGTGTGTGTGTGTATACATGTATGTGCTATTATAAGCTTTACAGAATACATTGATTACTAGACGTAACATTGTAGTGTTTCTCCTTTTTTAAATTGTTTCTAAAGCATTTGTTCAATTTTGCATGAAGAGCAGGTGTTTTTCAGAAGTTCAATTTTGGTTTCTATCATTTTGAAGTACAATTGTTTGCAGTTGTGGACCTATTTTGTCTATGTTACCACCACTAGTGGTGCTTTGAAGTTGTGACAATGTGGCCGTGAAATTTGGTTATTTATGTCTTGTCATATTGTACCTGCATGTCTTTTGTCATGTATCTTTTGTCTAAACAACACCATTTTATTTTCACTATACTGAAATAAACACAAGAGTCTGTTTTCATTTTTTTTTTTCGTTAACTGCATTGATAGAAAGTATTTTAAGAACATGGGAGAATAAGAGAAGGAAATAGTCTTCTTGTAATCAGATAAGGAAAAGTTAGGCAATGGTTATTAACTCGAGTTAATGGATTCAAGTACTTGGGATATTTATATATAATTTTGCAAGCTGGTAAGGAAAGGAAATTTGACTCTTAAGAAAAACATTCATTGACACATTGAATTGAGGAATCGTTGAGAACCGAGATTTTGTTGTATGTACAAGTGGAGCATGATCCTCAGCATATCTTCCTTATTTTTTAAAAATTCTTTCTTATTTCTGTTCCAGGTAAAACTTCATTTTTGTGAATAAATGAATTTATTCTTAAAGACAATATTCATTATCTAAATTTAAGTAGAAATCCTGTGTTACTATATGTTAAGAAGTCAGTTCATAGTAAACGCTGCCATCTTGAACTTTGAAGTTCAGCAGTATATTGATTTTTTTACTCCGGATGGTGTCAAGAGAAATGGAATCCTTATTTTATTAACCCGCTCTGGTCCGCTGCATATTTTTTCTCCTCTCTCTTAACACAATATTGTTATTAGAACAATCACTAAAATTCTGAACCATGTCACTCATGAGACCTTTCACTACCAAATGTTTTTTTTTGTTGTTGATCATCCATGGATTGTAAACTTGTGAACATTTTCAGTTCCTATGGAATGAGTGAACTTGATTATTTTAACCAATTTTGGTATGTTGCGTTACAACAGGTTAATTTGGTCTTATATGAGTTACATGCTTATAATGAATTAACACTTGTAGGGATTTCTTATGAATTTAAAGCTTTTTTGATAGGTTTTAATGATATAAAATATTATTAAAATGTCTTTCTTTATTTGTATGGGAATTAAAATGTTGCAGCTATTTCGGTAAATATCACATAACTCGCATACATGATTTATATATAATATTATTAAAATTTCTGTCATTATTTGTATGGGAATTAAAATGTTGCAGCTATTTCAGTAAATATCACATAACTCGCATACATGATTTTTATATAATATTTTCCTGCAAAATCTGCAGCATTAATCCCCACATTAACAACCAAAGAAAGCATTTATTGTAGAATTTAAATCGCTGACTGTCGCTGTTGCACACGTGGAGACAGTCATATTTTAAATACGTATGAATTGTGACCTTTCCAAATTATTAAAAAGAAATCCTTTTAAAATGCAACTAGACAAATGGGATCCCAGTCTCGGAGTTACAGTACCTAGAACATGTATTAATACTACCGGTATTACTTTTTTTACCTTCAGAAGTTTTCTCTTTACAACAAAGTTCTTTTCTTGTTCAGCGTGTTGGAATGTCATGCATTGTAACTCAGACTAATGTTAAAATGTACAAGGGAGGTAATCAATATTTTAGTAAAATTTAGCATTCTGCATACCAGTACTCAGTCCATGCTTAAATTTGAAAAATTATTTGGATATTAATCTAACTGGTTGCAGGCATCCAGTGTATGATAGAAAGTTGTCTCTGAGTTTCCTTAATATTAAAAAGAAATACTATTTAAAATGCAAGGCAATGGCATCCCAGTCAAAGAGTTAAAGTACCTTATATATACATGTACAGTACTAAAATTTATTACAATAATAAGCCAAAAAAGAGAACAATTTGCTAAATATTAAATAAGTATTTTCTGTTGTAGGTACAGTAAGCACAAACATAATATCCACATATTTAGATAAGTTTGATAGAAAATTAAAGTAGGTGTCTGTAGTTTTAAATATTCTTCTATAAAAAGGGAAAAATCATCCTAAATCTTTGGCTAACAACATGAGCAACAAAAAAAGATATAATTCCATTGTACATGTAGTATATTTTATTTTTGACAATTTAAAACATACAAAATATTATAAACATATAAAAGTTGTGACTGCAAAGTATTACACATTTTAAACTGACACCATTGCAACATAGGCACAAAACACATGGATTCCCAAAACATACAGTAATACTTGTTTATAAGGATAATGTTAATACTAGCAAGGGATAGTGGAGAACTAAGGACTAGGAAAAAGCAAAACACAAACTAATAACCAATAACATAGATCTTATAACCAATGATATAAATCAGGAGAAATAAACTATAACACACTGGCCCTGTTTATTTAATATAAAACCCTATTTAAACCATATATTGTACATATCATTATTTAAGTAAATATTTTATAATGAGATAATTCATACTCAAAATTGAATTTTGATTGAGTGTGATGGTACACATGAAAACTACGAAATGATTATGTGTCTTACCCTGCAGAAATACATTATTTAAGTACATGTACTGTAATTTTGAAATTAGAAAAAAAAATACTCCATTAAGAGTTCATATTGCACTTTGTTTGTAATGTTAAGGCAACAATTTAAATGGACATTCATGTAATTTATAAATTTTTTTTTTAAAGTTATATTGGAACAGTACAGGCCCAACAATTGTACTCATTTGTTTTATGTATTCATCTAATTCATTTATTATTATTATTCAGTCTAGAATATGCTTGGTATATTTCAGATCTCTGAGAAAAAAGATAAATTCACAGTCTGTTTGTGTAAAAAATAAAAGGCTGTCAATATTTACAAAGCATTCTTTTCCATAAGAGGATATAATCTTTATTTTGAGTTTTTCAGATCTACAGATTCAAAAGTTAGACCCCCCCTCTCAAGAAAAAAAGACAAGACATTGGATCCGAATAACATACAATAAGTAACTGTTCTATCTATTGTTCATGAGAAAATGTCAGATCTTTTGTGTGTAAAAAGACAACATTCTTTAAACACAAATAAGAAAAAAATCTTAAAGACTAGAAATAATAAGAAAAGAAAAAAAAACCTACATACATGTACAGTATAAATTGGATTAGCACTGAAAAAATAGCAATAAGTATAAAACTCAGATATAAAAGAAATTTGTAATATTAACATATTGAATCATAACAAATATAACAGATCATTGCAACACCTCCCAGACCAAACAGACCGATATCAACAATTACCTGAGGCAAAGATTTATGCTGCAACAAAACAGATGTACAGCTCTTCTATCTTCTAAATAATTAACATGGAAGACCATAACAAAAAGAAATCTAGGTATAGAGATAGAGAGAAATAATTTTTTCACAAAATGCATTTAAATATCACTGAAGCACAGAAATGTTGTTATGTCATTGGACATTCAAAGTAAAAGAGAAAGTACAATACAATAGTACATTTGTACAATCATGTGGAAGAAGTGATGTACATCTGAAAATAATGCTTAAAATCCAGTCAGCTATCACTCCTGTTACAAGTATTAGACCGTGCACACAAACATCCAAACCCTGCGGCCTTAACTAGCTGCCTGCTTAAAGAAGTTGGCCTTTTCTTTGAATGCCTTTTGTCTTTCTTTCTTCTCCTCTAACTCCCTTTTCTTTTCCTCTTGTTCTTGCTTGATTTCTTCCTCGAACTTTTTGCTGGCTGACTGTTGCTCTATCTGTACACAAGATTAAAAAAATTAACCAATGCTACTTATACCCTACGATTCTTTAAAAATTGGAAAACTGTTCATTTTCTCATAAACTACCATAAATGGGCATGGAAATGGACAATCTCCATTGTGACATCACAATATTGCATTTGATGTAAAAACTCGAGTGCTGAAGTACACCATCTACACCCAGTAATTCACACTGGCATATTTCTTATAAAGCGCTGACCTGATAGTTCAGCTGTAGTAGTTCATGTCCTCATGAATTTTCAAATTTAAACTTATTTCTTAACATTTACAATTCCAATGTCTTTGTTCGAGATTAAATTACCAATAGCTAATGTACTTTTATTATCCATCAATGTACTGGTTCATAGATAGGCACGGTTTAAAAAAATCATGTGCAGGGCGGGACAAATAGAGACAAGAAGCGAGGCTTCTAGCACATGGATTGGCGGAATCAATACCATGTAAATACCGTATGAGGAATAACTTCAGATTTTTGGATTTCATGACGATGATCAATCGATTAGCTTGCATGATAATTTAATGTATTATGCAAATTATCATGCAAGCCAATCGATTGATCACATCATGAAATTGAAAAATAAGACAGTTATTCCTTAAATAATCTTCACTGCCATCTTTAGAGAGCATCTTGTTTTGAATTGATTTGCTAAAATTTGAATTGTCTAAATTTCTGTATTTGATTTGCTAAAATTTGAATTGTCTAAATTTCTGTATTTGATTTGTAAAATTTGAATTGTCTAAATTTCTGTGTTTGATTTGCTAAAATTTGAATTGTCTAAATTTCTGTATTCACTTTCTTGTACTTGTTGGATGCCAGAGTAAGCGTTTTTTCTCTTGAAATTTGGGAAAAATTGATACCCAATTATACACAAGATATGATAATGATTCTAGACTTTCAGCACAAATAAGGTATATAATAAACCTTATACAGATGGAATTTTTTTCTCTCTTTTTATGACATGATTGAAGTCAAAAGAAAGACATGCAGATTTAAGGAAAATGTGTGTGAAGAATCCAAGTCAAATGTTATATATAAAGTCACTTACTCTAGAACCTAATGATACCCATGACCTATGCACAAGGAAATGAATGTGGATATATTAAACTATGAAACAGTTTACATAGGTGTAATGAAGAATTTATAGCAAGTTTCTCAATAATTAAAAGGTAGCAGATTGTTAGTGTAGCTAAACTTGTTTGATATGTTATAGATTTTTAGATATTAACTGCCAATGAATTCCAAAAGTAATAAAAATGTTGATAATATTGTAGTTGTGTGGCAACAGACCTAAAACATAAATTTAATAATATGATTTACTGGTATGTTATTTTCTAAGAAAATATTTTTTTTTATATTTATAAAAAATTACATAATCTAGACGAAATTCTTAGAAACAGTGAAAATGGACATACACGTAGGTAGTAATAAAATCAAATTTTATTAATAATTTTCTATTATTAAAGAACTTATAACATTAGTGACATTACTTTATCATTACAAATAATTAATACAAAATTGTAATAATTTTCATCTAAGTTTTGAAAACTTGTCTGATATTTTATTTAAAATTTTACTCATTTAGCATGTTTAGTGAAACTATTTATAAACAATTTTAGGTCATACTAAGTTTACAATATAGTGACGTGGGATGACATATTGTCCTTTCCTTTATAAACACATTACAGTTGGCACAACCAGGACATTGAATCATTTACAATTCACCCAACACACGCAGTATCACGTTTATGTATTTATTGTGTCTGTAAAAATATATTTTTTTATACACACATATTTTTTCTCATTATAATATTTCCTTCTAATTTAAACAAAAAAATTCCAAGAACAGAAACAAAGTCCTGAATGAAACTGAATTTGAGTGTACAGACAAAAAGAATCAGCTATTTTCAGGGACTCAAACTGCTCATTTCCTGAACATTTTTTAATCTGTCAATCTAATTTTATATTCCACTAATTCGAGAGTGTTTCCCTCCAGAATGATGTGCACTTACATTTCTCCTTGCTGGTCAATAAACTAAAGATTCAACAAGCTTTGTCACACAACACTTAATCTCAAGCACATAATTAATGCAAGCCTAAAGACAAACCAGCACAGCTATAAAACCCTCCCATTATTATGAACAGGAAATGCCTTTAGTTTTCTCTAGCACTCACTTTAGCTTGGAAGAAGTTCTTCGCTCCCTTGACTCCCTCTTTGTCGACATCGATTTCTGTCATGTTTTCAAACAGGTCCATAAGGCCACTCCCTGCTTCTAATTCTCCTGCATGAGCTTTACGGAAAATTAAAAGAAACTGAAACAGAAAATATTATAGCATTACAATCACAAATCTCTGATCTTTTAAACATAACATTTAATTATTTTTATTCTGTTTAAATCAACACATGCGACACAAGAGAAATATGAATTTATATTCTTTAATATTTTTTGAAACTGTTAACCATGCATACATAAGAACTGCATTAAAATTGGAGTTTTATAAGATCATTTTATTTTACTAGTTTTAATTTATTCAATTCTTGCCAAATTATCTATCACTACAACACACTACAAGAGGCCCAGGGGCCACAGCGCTCACCTGAGCACATCGGGCTTGAATTTACTCCCCCCCCCCCTTCCAATCGTTCATCATTTGAACAAACTAGAATCTACACTACCTGAGGATGATTCCATATAAAATACCCCGGGTATCACTTATCATAGCTTTGAAGTACTTGAAAAGAAGATTTTAAAAGGTTTCCCTATATATCCCTATGTAAAACTTGGGTCGGCCATTTTGGCCCCACCCTATCCCCAGGGCCGGGGGTCATGATTTGAAAAAACTTGAGTCTACACTACCTGAGGATGGCTTCCCTATCAGTTTCATCTTTCCTGGCCCAGTGGTAATTGAGAAGGATTTTCAAAGATATTTCCTATATATTCCTAAGAAAAACTTGGGTCGGCCATTTTGTCCTTGCCCCGGGGGTCATGATTTGAACAAACTTGAATCTACACTACCTGAGGATGATTCCACATGAGTTTCATCTTTCCTGGCCCAGTGGTTCTGAAGAAGAGATTTTTCTTATATATTCCTATGTAAAACTTAGGTCGGCCATTTTGGCCCCACCCTTGCCCCAGGGGTCATGATTTGAACAAACTTGAATCTACACTACCTGAGGATGCTTCCACATGAGTTTCATCTTTCCTGTCCTAGTGGTTCTTGAGATGAAGATTTTTAAAGATTTTTCTTATATATTCCTATGTAAAACTAGGGTCGGCCATATTGGCCCCATCCTTGCCCCGGGGGTCATGATTTGAACAAAATTGAATCTACACTACCTGAGGATGATTCCACATGAGTTTCATCTTTCCTGTCCAAGTGGTTCTGGAGAAGAAGATTTTTAAAGATTTTTCCTATATATTCCTATGTAAAACTTGGGTCGGCCATTTTGGCCCCACCCTTGCCCCGGGGGGTCATGATTTGAACAAACTTGAATCTACACTACCGGAGGATGATTCCACATGAGTTTCATTTTTCCTAGCCCAGTGGTTCTGGAGAAGAAGATTTTTAAAGATTTTTCTTATATATTCCTATGTAAAACTTAGGTCGGTCATTTTGGCCCCACCCTTGCCCCAGGGGTCATGATTTGAACAAACATCTACACATTGAGGATGATTCCACATGAGTTTCATCTATCCTAGCCCAGTGGTTCTGGAGAAGAAGATTTTTAAAGATTTTTCCTATATATTCCTATGTAAAACTTGGGTCGGCCATTTTGGCCCCACCCTTGCCCCTGGGGTCATGATTTGAACAAACTTGAATCTACACTACCTGAGGATGCTTCCACATGAGTTTCATCTTTCCTGGCCCAGCGGTTCTCGAGAAGAAGATTTTTTAAAAATGCTATTAATCTTTAACAAATTCATGATTATCTCCCCTTGGAAAAGGGCGTGGCCCTTCATTTGAACAAACTTGAATCCCCTTGATACTTTGTGCCAAGTTTGGTTGAAATTGGCCCAGTGGTTCTTGAGAAGAAGATGAAAATGTGGAAAGTTTACGACAACGACGACGACAACGACAACGACAACAGACAACGGACAAATTTTGATCAGAAAAGCTCACTTGAGCCTTCGGCTCAGGTGAGCTAATAAGTATAACGAAAGTAATAAATTCATATGGTGTAATTAATGAATGATTATATTAGATATTATGAGATACAACAATTCTCCTGTTCTTAGCAGTACATGTAGTGAGTTCTTATACTTTTTTTAGCACAGCTACTTGACATAAGAAAACTTTATTTCTTGTGTGTACTCCTGAAGAGTACATAATTTACCAGTCTCTTCCCTCCATTTAGCTGTGATTTTTGATTTTCCATAAACAGATAGCATGTAGACTTATTACCAGACATTCACTCCATATCAATATGATATTTAAGCTGGCACTTTTAGCCATCAATTCCCAAGACTAGATCTTTCTTTCTTCCCTTTTAGAACTTTTCACTCACATTGAGATGCCACTACTTGATGCTTGAGAGCTATAAATGTAGACCTGTACTCCGCACTTAGGGCCTTGGCAGTGAGGGATCTTTTTTCAAGTCAGTACTTACTACTTTCTGTGACGTGAAACCTCGATTTATAATATGGACTTATTGGAAGGACTGGTCTCCTGTTCCGCAGTGTGGTTCAAACACCTAACATTAGGATTATCTCCTTACAGTATTCTTCAAGTCTAGAGTGGGATTCAAACCTCTGATGTAATGATCAACTCCTATCTAAGCTAGTCTAGAGAGCAAATTAATGCTTTAACCCCTGCACCACCGAGACAAAATTTAAGGGAAACAATCAACATAAGTTATGTTCACTTCTCTGGGACTCTTCATTAATCTGAATGGTTTGCTTGGGAGAAGTGTCCGGAATAACAAGACTTGACTGTATAAGATAACAAGGTCAGCCAAGGTATAAGATAAATTTTCCTCTGAACACCCTTCAGAGTCTTCATTATCAATTTAAGGAGAGGGAAGATTTTATTTGCAATTGTGTTCTAAAAATCGGACAGTTAAATCATATAGAATTTCTACTTCCTGGTTGGATGACAGGTAAGCTATGGGTTGTACAACTTACTTCCCTGAAGTTGATTTTGTCGTCATGGTCTTCGTCCACTTCCTTTATCATGGCCTTCAGGGACAGGTGTGTCTGTGGGGCCCCAATTTTCTCCATCATCAGTTTCAGTTCGTGAAAGTCAATAAAATTGTCCCTGCTAACATCATACCTGCAATATATACATTACTTGTTATGTATGAGAAAATCTTAAGATAATTTTAAAATTTATATACTCAGTATTGTAAAGGTATTATGGGTATTATATTAATGATGAACTACATTTAGTACTGTAGCAAATGCAATACACAAAAGCATAATTTATTTTATTATACTTTCATGTTAAATACTAAAATCTGATTGGTTTAGACACAGTTAACAATCTGTTCTATTACCCTCAGCCTTAGCAACACATGTGACAACGGGTAACACAATGGTGGTAATGCCACATGCGTGGAAATTATAATTCGTCAGTTGCGCGTTTGAAAGAACCGGAATAAACTTGACGCCAATAAAAGCTTGCGTCCGATGTAGCTTACTTGAAAACAACAAACGACAGACGAAACATGCTTGCGAGTGCAGAAAAAAACGAAACTTTAGATGATAAAGGACTCGTAGAGTATCAAATAAACAATAAAGAGGTCAGTAAATCTTTTTCGAAGTAGCGGGGAGTTTGAAAGCTTTCTAAACGTGAACGAAAAGGCGATCGACGATTTGTATTGCTGACATAGTAAATCAAGAAGACATTCAGTATAATAAAATAAATGGTGCCTGTTTTGGAGGGTAACAGTTGAAATTGACACCCCAAGGAAAACCATTGTCAACCGACGCGTCAGCGGAGGTTGACAATGGTTTTCCGAGGGGTGTCAATTTCAACTGTTACCCTCCAAAACCGGCACCATTTATATAATATTGTGTACAGTGATTTGATCTTTTTTTTTAAAGTTTGTATCTTTGCAGCTGATGTGAGAGTTCTTAAAACTATCCAGTGCTACTATCACAATATCATATTATGTACTACATCTATTACTTAAATCATTCCTGTCATGGTTTTGAAAAGCACATTTTCTAAATACATTATCATAAAGTACCAGACATGTACCAGTACTTAAGAGAAAAGGATGAATTTCACCAAAAGGTATGGTCTTCTGCATCCTTAATCTTATAGTATTGGGTGTGAGGTCAAATTAAAGTTAACTAAAGCAATAAAAATGATCTACGACATCGGTGGGATTAACTTGTCACATTTCCAAGGGGAACACCTGTCTCTTCTGGAGGACAAAATGTTTATCTTTCATCCTGAAGAGGGGACAAGTTGTCCCAGAAATTAGATAGTTTAATCCCAGTGGTCATCTTATATGTTTTCTATTCTTTATTTAATACAGTCGAACACAGGGAAATATTATTGTGATAATGACCGTATATGTGGATGTAAATGAGTTACATAGTATCTATATATGGCAATCTGTGTAGTTGTCAATGTTTTACAGTACAATGCAAGGCTGGTTGTTCCTGTGCTTCATGAAGATATTTATAAGCGCACTTCTTTATAATTAAACAATCAAAATTTTCTTATTGACCCTTTGATTTTTTTTCTTTTTTAAAATTTAAATGATATGTCAATGGAAACATAAGTTTTTTAAGGACTAAAATCATAAATGGTTGAGTTCTCTGGGTGAAAATAAAAATCTTGTTCCATCATCATGATCTCATCAATGTCAGGATTTGGTTTAGTGTCATAATGATTGATATTTAAAGAGGTTGTACAAGAAAATTACAAGATTGTGATCATATAAATATTTCACTGAGTAAGCCTGATAACTAATACGTCAGTCAGATTTTCTATTTACTTGTTCAACATTTGTGATATGAATTTTTTAAAAATTTTTAAAGGATTTCTTCCTACCACTCTGTACTGAACTCTTCCTATTCATAAAATCTTCAGAACTGTCAGACAGAAGACTATTTGATGCATAATAAATAGGTTAAATGATAAAAAAAAAAAATACACATGATATACAAAAAATGAAAAAATTAAATCTTCAGAAAATATTTTAGTATAATTTTTTAAACTTATTTAAAATATTTATTATTATGAACAATTCTTTGTCCTCTTATTGAGTGCAGACAGTGACAAGGCAGGAAATCCTGGCCAACCTAATGCTTAAACCATGCACAATACAACTGCTGTATTAAACTCTAAAATCAAACACATTTCACTTTAATATGAATTCATGACAGCTGTTTCTCATTGCAGATAATTACTCACTTGTTAAAGGTCTTTTGAAAATCCTTGATTTGTTTACGACTGAACTCCTTGAATTCTGTATAAGGGTTCCACACATTCATAGATGGCAAGGCTGCTGTTTCATCCCCCTCGTTGATTTCATTTCGTCTGTTTAGCTTTCTTGCAAGTTCATCACTTGCCATGGTTGTGTTTTAGTAGATAACACGATTAGATGGTAAGGAGACAAAATTTAGTTCCTTGATAAATCCCCCAGCTCTCCCCTCACTTAGCAGAACACGAGTTTCACTTCCTCAAAATAAACTTATCTGCTTCCGGGTCACGTGGTAATTAAAGGTAAAAATCATAGGGGCGGATCGCAAATCCAGCTTTTAATCAACTCTCAAAAAATACTCGTAAAATTTATTTTTTGGTCAATCGTAAAGAAAAGTTTCATATACAGTGGGATAAAAATGACTTGGGGTCTTTTCTCCATAAATAGACACCATCCTGAAATCAAGCGCCCATAAACCATGTGTAAACATGATCTATAAATGCCTTTCTCCGTGGGGATTTTTTAAAATAATCATGATAAATCATTAAGTATATAATGCGAATATTTTTTTAATAATTCATACTTACTGAATTGAATATCTGCGTACTGATTTTTATGTTGATTATAGATGATGAAATGATGAAATATAGTACTTACCATACAGTTTTTAAATCATCTGTGTGGACCCCTCCCGAAATTTTTGGTTCCGCCTCTGCAAGATTCTCATATGATGCAGTATTGATTTCAGATATCTCACAGAAACACTTCATAATGGAAATGTTTAAATGCCAATTGTTAAAACAAGCTCCAAAATAATATTTTTTGTGACAATTTAGAATTCTTCATTTATTTACTTTGCACTTTCTCGCTGAATTTTCTTTGTTTATCTATAATTGCACCTGCAAAGTATGAATTATTCGTAAAATGTTACAGGCTGTAGTCTGATAAGTTGATGATACAAGGATATCATCAAACTGTCTTAATTGTTTAATTCAACATTTCTCAAATTCTATGGTCGGTATACAATGCCTTTAAATAATTTGTTTGCAAATAAAATCGGTCGTTATGTTGAATGTTCATTGGTCGATAGGGGATACTTATTCCTCTTTGGCACCTTATCCTACCTCTACTTTAAGAACGCCAAGTTGGCTTGAATCCTCAATATTTTTATTTCTTATATAGAGGTTTGACCGAGCGACAGTTGACTCTCTAAATTTTACCAAACTTTAGCGTTGGACACAACTTTTGAACGATTGGAAATATGGCATAAATTAATATATTTTCAGAAGTGAATCCATGTGATCAAACCTTCTTTGTATACGCACATTTTTGACTCTTGACCTTAGAATTTAACATTTTTTCCTAAAACTTTGATCTTGGATTTATATTTTGAACGGTTGATCTAGAGTTTCAATATAATTATCAAGTAATCACCTGTGTATGCCTTGTGACGAGACCTTTCTTTTACATTTTTGATCTGACCTTGACGTTTGAGTTTGAATTACATTTGTTAGAGATTTGAATTGGAAATACGCAGCCAACCGAGCTCAGGACATATCAGTTACATTTAATTTCCTCCTTAAAAATACTCACAAACACTTAAGTTAATGCATGTTCAATATCTTCCTATGCTTTCAATATCTTCCTATGCTTCTTTATCTTGTCTGATGTAAACAACGCAAGGCTACCATGTGTGTTTTTAATACCTTTATTTCCCTCACGTCTCCTAAACATGTAACACATTGTTTCTTTAACATCACAAACATTTTGAAAAAAAGTGCTCAAAAATGCTACGATACTTCTTTATAAAACAATTTTCAATTCCACAAATACAGTTCAGTCAGTATAACAAAAATGTTAGTCTGATAACATACATGAAATTGATTAAAAAGAATATATCTTATTTGTGATAGTGGAAATCTAATACTCTCAAAAAGCTTTTAAAAATTGACTAGTTTATATTTAGGAAAAACATAATTTTAGAGTGACTTTATTTTTCTTTGAAAATTACAAAAGAAAAGGAGCTTAACTCTGTATATCAAACCATCTTCTGTTGAATTTTTTTAGCGAAATGCAAAATTAAAAGCTTTATCTTAAAAATATAATTTCTTCGCATTATTCATTTTTTCGTTACTTCCTCTTCTTCAAGGTAGAAAAATGCACTAAAAAATTATTCACCCAAATATTATCCATAATGAAACGAGTTATGCCCTTTTTCAATCATTATTTTCAAAGAAAATTTATGAAACTATGAATGATATTCAATCATCATCTGATTTCAATTTTTTCCCACCAAACTTATTCATTTTGTACATTGTAAGTGTTATATTTACAATAAAAATGATTTTGTTGCAATTAGTATGATGTTTAATGAAATATGAAATGAACTACATGTACAAATACACGTTGATATTTAAAGTGCAGCACATAAATAATGAAGGTGATAATAATACTGATAAAAAAATTAAGCTCGAGATTAAAGCTTAAATACGATTCATAGTAATGAATTTGAAATTAGCTGCAGAATTGTAGTTTTTGAGAGACCCAGGAATGTAAATACACTGTAAAGTGCAATTTACGCGGTGCAAGATTTTCTGCGCACTGTTGGAACGAATTTCTTCTCTTACTAGCATTGGGCAATCAACTACCTTTAATTTCTTAATTTTAGACATATTAGTAACCTATAACCAACCTGTATATTTTATCCAACTCCTAAGACCGAGGAACATTAACTGGCAAAATTGGAAATATACAGCTTACGTCATTTCTATCTGTTACAATCAAAACATTCAGTGAAAGACAACGAAATGGGCGGGTACAATTCGACGCGGACGTGGGGAAACATCGGATTGAAATTGCAGATCGAAATTCATTTTCAATCTACCTGAGCCGTTTTCAAAGCAAAGAGTGGACGCGGTATGATCCAAAAATCAACTATATTTCAACTCCCAAATACATATTATTCGATTGATTGATTGATTGTATATTGTTTAACGTCCCTCTCGAGAATTTTTCACTCATATGGAGACGTCACCGTATGCCGGTGAAGGGCTTCAAATTTAGACCTATACTCGGCACTCAGTTAACATTAATTTGAGCTTTAGCTTATAATTTTAAGAACGCGAAAGATCATACAAGACAAAGATTATTTTTCAGGAGATATTTGATTCTAGAAAGGTGGGGGATAAAAAAAATTGTCGAGTCAGGTCATGGCTTAACATGTCAATATATTTTATTTCTAGGATTGTAAGAGTGCATGAGTTTTATACTTATTCTCATTGAAAACTGTTGGACAACTTTATTTAAAAAGGAGCCCCCCCCCCCCCCCCCCCTCAACAAAAAGATATACATATATTTACCAAACAGAAATGAAATGTTTGTCCCTTAAATATTAATTTATTTAAAACACTGGACAAAAAAAAAATCACACTGTACCAAAATTGAAATTATTTGTCTTCTGGGTAATAATGTGCCTTCTAGCGTAGCTGAGGTGGATTGAAAATGAATTTCGATCTGCAATTTCAATCCGATGTTTTACGTCCGTGTGATACCCGCCCATTTCATTGTCTATCACTGAATGTTTTGATTGTAACAGATAGAAATGACGTAAGCTGTATATTTCCAATTTTGCCAGTTAATGTTCCGCGGTCTTAACATCTACAGACCGATATAAGCTCGCTTGTTGTAAACTTTCTGCAATCCGACAACAAATTCACAACAAGCCATTTACTGGTCTGTCGAGACGACTAAATAGAGAAAGGAGGTGAACAAATACATATTGGTTATAATATGTCTAAAATTAAGGAATAAAAGGATACTGATTTACTGACCAATGCTGGAAAGTGGAGAATTTCTCCCCAAACGTGTGCAGAAAATCTTGCACCGTAAATCGCATATTTGCATAACAGGATCTGTAGCGTTATGGCCAAGAACTAATATATAAAACGTTCTGCACCTAGTTTGAAATAAACCGCTCATCGGACATAACTTCATTTCAGACAATTACATAGCATTGACAAACACCTCAAGTCTAGAATCGTTTCAGTTCCGATTTGCCATAGGAAAATTCATTCTATATTATTTTGAGTAGAAGTTCGAACACAGTTTCTGTTTTGGCTTCGTGGCTTTGGTTTCAATTCTATATACAGATGCCTCCGAAAAAAAACTTGACATTTTATAGTCGTAAATTGACCCAAAAAAGCATAGATGTCATTTCATATTTAAAGGCCATGGCTAGAGTAATAATCACAAGTATTCTTGACATTCAGTGGCTTAGAATATGCCTTAGATTTCTTTTTTAAAAAGTTTGTAAAAAGAGGACCATGAACCACAATTCTCATTTTGTCCTACTAGCTGTTCTGTAGAAGATTTTTTAAAAAAAAGATTTAAAAAAAAATGTTAGAATCCACACAAGATGGGATCAATAGGATAATGTGATGCCCTGCTACTCTTGAATTTTTTTTTAATCCATGATAAGCTTTGATTTACTTTTGTGGACAAACTTTTCCAACGGATACCTTTATTGAATAATCTTTCAAGAATCTAAACTTATCATGGCCTCTTAGTTCTAAAGAAGAATTTCATTTTTTTTTTGGTCTAAACATTCCCATGTAAAACTTTGATCTCCTTTTGTGGCTCCATCCTACACTTGAAGACCAATACTTGAACAAACTTGTACCAACTGTGAACAATACCTTAGGATGCGTATATATAGATATTGGCTAATCATAATGATATTCTTTCTTAAGGAAAAGGTTTTCAGTTTTTTTCAAATTCCCTATAAAACTTTGATTCCAAATTGTGATCATATCCTTTCCCTGGAAACAATTTTGAATAAATTGGAATTTACACAATCTTTTCCCTTATATATTTCCTTGTGTAACTCTAATCCCTAATTGCTGTTTGATCCTATCTTACGAGGCAATGATTTGAATAAACAACTGGTGATGTAATACCAATTAATAGAAATTCTGACCTAGAGAAGATTTTTTTTCGCGATTATTCCCATTTTATTCCAAAGTGTTTCGATGTTAGACTTTGGATTCAATGCTGAATCACTTTTATGACTTGAGAAAATCTAAAGAAAGAGTAAATTAAACGTTAAAGTGCATTCCTTTATCTTAAATTTCAAAAAATATGTTTGACTTTATTAAACCTCTGCAAAATCGTCCTCTACATCGATTGTCACTTCCATCACTTCCGGTAGTGGATCCGACCTTTGTTTTGTTCGTCGTCGCTGGTATGAAGTCTTGGTCTTCCCATTAACCATTTTAAGAGCTCCATTTTCTTTTGAACGAGTTTCATTGGCAAATGTTATTGCTTTTTTCTCAAGTTTTGGTGACTTGGCTTCGTTCGCAAGGGCTGGTTTTTTGTAAATTTCATTTGGCATAGGGCTTACTGAAGGACTAATTTTCTCAGACATAGGAACTAGAAGGTTATTAGGGGACGGACTCAGCATATTTGGTTCCTCTTTTTCTTTTTCTTCTTGTAGCTGTGGATCCGGAATTATTAGTGTTTTGTTCAATAAATTGTTAGAAAACTTTCTGTTTCTTCCGGTGAGCCAGTATGTTTCATATTCAACGCCCTACAAAAAATAACGCTATGTAAACTTCATAACAATTAAACATACAGGCATTTTACCCTTTACACATAAGCTAAAGTAATCTTTTCATTTATTTTGTTCTAGTTATTTATATTTGAGTTCTCATAACCTTTCAGTTTCCTTTCCTTTTTTAATATACCGGTAGATATTAATTCTATATACACATTCTTAAAAAGCTACGTACCCTGACAATCAGTAGACCCGATCTTTCAGTTGAAAAGTTGTTCGTTGTAAGAATTTTCTTTCTTAGGTCCATGGATGTGTGGATTTTTGAAGCGTCCGAAGATCTTGCAAGGCATCGCACAACTTCTGGCAAATCACTGAAGAGAACAAACTGCGGCGTGTCAGTCTCTATGATCCCTGTAGTGGTTATGCCAACGTGAGCTCCTATACTCAGTTGCATCATCCAAACGTCGTCAGAAGAACAGCTAGAATCCTCGATATGCTCATGAGTTAGAATGTCTAAACACATGTGCGCAGTTTTTAAAGCCACACAGTATTCGTTGTTGTTGTTGACCTCTCCCATGCCTACAACAATCATGAAAGATGTTCCATGCGAGCTGTATCTAAATGCTGAATACTTGCTTACAAGTAGATCCAGGTACGTGCACATACTTGTCAGTTTTTCTACTTTCTCTTTTGAAGTTAAATTGTTGAAATCATTCTCTTTGGTGATCTCAACACAGATTATACCAATTAGTTTCTCCTCATCATGGTCTATAGAATCACCGTTTGCGATAGCATTAGCGATTGTCCCCGGTATAATACTGGACATCATGGACTCCAGATTCTTCTTTGTGGACTCTAATTCTATCGTCTTCTCCTCCACGCACTCCTCAAGATGCTGTGTATAATCCTCCATGGATTGAATGACACTGTCCATGACAGATTTTCTCACTGGACTGTTCCGTTTCATAAGCTTTAATATTTGATCAAACGAAGGCCGGCTGACCGGGTTGTCTGTCCACGCAATTTCCATGATTTGTCTGATGGCGACTGGAATGTCCAGTTGGATTTTTGGACGTAGGTTACTGGAGTATATTGCATGGATTATATCCGCATTCGATGTTGTTCCAAGGTGTTCTGTGTATGGCTCTTCCTGCGAGTAAATTTCTTGTAAAACTATAGCAAAACTGTATACATCGCATTCATGCGTTATTCTGCATTTATAGTTTGCTCGAAGTACTTCCGGAGCTACCCAGAATTCCCAAGAACACTGACTTTGTGAATCATCCGCGTGCATATCTGCTATCGCCATGGCGTCATTTTCGTTGTTAAGTGTTAAAACTTTCAAAAACTCCCAGTCTCCGACTTTAACGGTCCATTTACAATCTACAAAGCATACACGCGCTTTCAAATTTCCATGAGTAACATGATGGTGATGAAGGTAATTCATTCCCTGACATATGTCCAAAGCCAGAGCCATCTTGAAATCTGCTGTCATTGTTATTTTATTGTCCTGAAGGACGTCTGCTAGGGACCCTTTTCGGCAATACTCACCAATCAAGTATTTTTCGTTGTCTATAACTGTAAGCCCATAAAATTTTACAATATTGAGGTGATGTACTTTATCACGAATTCTGAGCATTTCTTGCTTCATGTCTTTTGTTAGAATTTGCATTTGTGGAATTTCTAACAGCCTTACTCCAATATCATGCCCTTTCCATTTGCCAGGCCACTGAAGCACTTTATCTATCATAGCCTCCACTTCTCTCTTATCCATCTCAGATTGTGCCGACTGTAAAGATCTTGCAGATCTTGCAAACAACGAGGAATGGTGTGCTGAATGATGATGGCTATCATAATAAAACACGATATCCTCGATTGGAACTAACCAATCATCCTTATTAAGCAGCCTCCAGTATTTGCATCTTTGGAACAATATATAACCACCAAGTATCCCTAAAACTATAGTAGTGATTGGAACCGCTATAGCTACTTCTGTTTGCCATGAATCCCCAGCGACCGCTTCCTCTCTTTCCATGTCCACCATAACCTCTTGCCACATATTACGTCCCTTGCATGTGACTTGTTCTAGAGTATTTTTATGTACCCTATTCACCATATCCGCGCTAAGTGGAGCAAATCCCAAAACTTCACAGTCATGGCGAGGTGTAGTTTGAGTCATAAACCAGTCTATATACCGAATGAGTTCTTTTGCTGAGTCACAATTTGTCATAGAAGTTTTATAAATGATAAAATGTGTGAAGCCTGCAATTGGGTACGAACCTGAACCACCACTGTTAGCCAATGAAAATGTTTGTGCCGAAGGATTTTTGGCAGCAAAATAATCCATAGCGTTTTGAACAGCTTGGGAGGTAGGGGACATATATTCACCGACTCCGTTTTGAAGAAGTGCTGTTTCTACGATTCCATCTTGAACATCAGCAACAGATAAATAACCAAGAGAATTTCTGAACGACAACAGCAAACCTGAAACACCTCTAGTCTGCACCCCGTAATAAGTGATCGCATTTGGATTCCAGTGGTAAGGCGATCCACTGTCATTAATTCCCCTTGAGAATGTTCCATAGGTAGAGTTCCAGTTTTGATCAACAGCGGAAAGCGCAGAAGTAAAGAGTTCAGTTGATCCTGATTTATCTGCTCTGGCTATAACAATAATTGGGGAATTTGGAAAAATACCATTCGGATTGTTTGTCGTAAAAGTTGCGTCACTCCATGATGTGTAGGTTCCATTATATATACCAACCAGCTGCTGCAGGGAAAGATTTAATTTGTTGGAGCCAAAATTTGGTAAGTTGTATCCCATGACTATCGCCCTGTAACAAAATTAAGGCAGGTATAATTAGTCTATTCAATATAGTCTTATCTATTTTACAATATCAACAGGGCATGTAAGAAACCGGAAGTCTCTGTCGAGACTAGCTCTACTGGTTTGTACTTATAACAAAGGGAGAGAAAAGTAGCAGTTGGGACTTGAAACTGTACAACAACTTTACAATAAATGGAATAATTATCCTTGATTAAGGGGTCCCGACCCTCTACTTCAAATTTCACATAAAAGATTAAAATTTCTAATATATTGATTTTCATCAACAACAATAACATTTAAGAGCCACATGGAAAATACTTCAAAATACATGTAGTTTGAAGTATGAAGCGCTGCTTATTTTATCAGAAATGATTTTCATCATATCATGCTATGAAGAAATTTCAACACAGAGAACAGAAAGAGTAACGATTTACTCAGTATTATCACAACATAAAATTTAAAATATGAGGAAGAGCTAAAATACATGTGTAAAGTATAAAGAAATTGTGTATCAATGGGGAAAATGCAAAAAAAATTAGAATCTTTATGTTGATGCAAGAAATATCTCTTTAACGTGAAAAGAGATCTATTTTAACGAAAGAGATATCTATCAGGGAGAAAGATATCTCTTTAAATGGAAAAGATATCTCTTTTAGTAAAAGAGATATTTCTTTGTTAGAGATACTGAGTATACGAGTATCTCTAGGTGAAAGAGATATCTTTCTAGGTGAAAGTAATATCTCTTTAATGTTAATAGATGTCTTTTTAAAGGAAAGAGATATCCCTCATGAAGAAAAAGATATCTCTTTCTTAGAGAGATAGCTCTTAAAATTTAGAGATATACATGTATATCTATTAAGAGATAGTATCCCTCTAAAATGAGAGATATCTTCTATAGTTTCAAGATATTTTTTTCCGAATAAGTAGCAAAAGGGCTTGCCATCAAATTATGTCGCTGGTTTGAATCATATTGCGGGACTTGGAGATCAGTCATAAAAACAAAGGTATATGTAGCAGAAGTTGCTGGCACGAAAAAGATATCCAGTATCTCTCTACTACTCAATGATCCTGAGTGCCGAGCATAGGTCTTGAATTATCAGTGAAATGGAAAATGGTGCATGGCATCTCAATATGAGTGAAAGGTTTAGGATTTATTCTTGGGTTAAACTTTGAAACCAGCGTTTCTCACTAATTTGAAAACGATGTAATCATTTATTACTGTATCGTATTGAGCAACATGTAACATTATACAAATATTTCAATTTGCTACAGTAAAATATTTCACTGTGCTTGTTTTTAATATTTGAATGTTTGCTTCAGACAAATTTGACCATTTTGACAAGTGTTTATTTTAGGTCCACAACATGATCTTTTCTGAAACCAATAGTAATAATTGATAGCAATGTAAAGAACAATGAACTTAGTTTCTAAAGAGTTGATTAAATTTGAAAATGTGCATCATTAGTCAGTCATGCATTCTGTTAATAATCCTGTTTACGATTTAGTATTTTCTGGAGTATTGATGGATAATCATTTTAAACTTTATTATGTATTTAAAAAAATGTCCCGTTTTATTTCGTTTAATTTATTGTTTCAAAAAGTATTTTATTGCTAACACTTTCGCTAAAACGAAGTCTAAAACATGTGTTGCTTTTGCATGGTTTTAGTCATGTAGTACTACACTATTGAAATGGAAAACATGGAAATACTCTTATATTAGTATAACTATTTTAAATTTAGGTCAAGTTTAGTTATTTAAATAGTTAATATTTATATTTTCACCTCTTTGATAAAATTCCCTCTGTTGATGTAGCTTGACTTATCCGTTATCCGTTTAATGCATTATGCTAGGCAGACAAATCGGTTCCTTTTTTTAAAGCATAAGATGGATGGTGCTTTAGCAGATCTTCTTATCTGCATATTTCATTAAATTGATTGGGTAAGAAACACATCTCACTGAAAAAAATCATTATTTTGTCAAAATCTTAAACTGTCAATTGAGTTTATTGACCATAAAACATCAATAGTGAAACATGCATTCCTTGGTACTTGTTATCGTTTTTCTTGCATTCAAGATATTGTTTGTTCATAACAAAGCTCGTTTCAAACTGATGCTATCTAGAGCCGGTTTCTTCCTATTCAAGAAGGAAGAGAAATGGACTTTTTGAGAGAAATATACTAACATCAATATATTTTTTTTCTTATTTTCACAAAAATATGTGTATTTTGGATTTAAAATCAATACGATGTACCTTGAGATTTTACACAGTTAAAATTTTAACAGGATTTTTAAAGACATGAGAAGGATGAAAATAAAGAATATTGATCGATTTTTAAAAGAAATCTGCGATCAATTCAAATCTATGAACAGGACATACAAGATAGTCCCCTTGAAAATGAAAGTCAATCGAGCAGTATGAAATCCATGTAAGACTATTGGTGAAATTTGTTATGTATTCTCCTTGACTTTTAATACTTTTAAACAACGTTTGTTTAAAACTTTATACGTGTCACAAGTTATGATAAAATTTGTAATTATTTTAAAATTACTATGAAATTAGGAACAAAAAAATATCATCAAAGTCAAAACTACCATGAAACGCCCTAGGGAATAAAAAAGGAAAATAGACGAGAACAGTGGGTTGTACTGATGTCCTTCGTTTCGATTTCATCCATAACTTATAGGAAAAGAAAGGCGAAGACCGTCATACATAAGTTATTCCACGTTTCCAACTGTCGTTGATGTCTCTGGCATACCTTCCAAGAAACTAGACAGTGTTTCCTAATATTGACATTTAAGGGGGCCGACTATAGTTTCCATTGCGCAATATTTCGCGCATCATAGTAAAATGAAGCGTATTTACTGTTTTAATGCATTTTTTTCGCTTAATCATTAACATTAAACAAAATTAAGAAATAATAGGTATAAAAATGTAATTACAATTTGAATTAACTGATTTTTAAACCGATTTTGCAATTGATAGGTAGGTTGACGTCGTTGCAGTGTGTTTTTGACGTTATGGTAATCTGTAGCTCTTAAAGAAAGGAGTAATAAAAATTTTATTGAAGAAAAAGTAATGAACATACGCTCTTGAAATTTAAAACATAGAAATTTGAGAATATCTCTAATATTTGTATTATGTTTTCATGTGAATCCATTGTGTACGTCATATTTTGTGATAGTCTATAAAAATAGGAAAAATTGCTAATTTTTTGCATTTTGAGATGCACCCTCTGGTAACAAGACGGTAGAATTTTGTGTTTCTTACATATGTTGTATCATATAGTATTACTCATCAAATATTATAGTTTGAACAAAATGTCTATTGTAGTATTTGTATAATTTGCTTTAAAGTGCTAAAAATTAGCATTTTCCTATATAATCCTATAGTAAATCTACCTGTATTTTGAGAAGGTCCCTCAAAAATACCTGGACGGTAGATTTCCCCAAAACTTTGCATGTACACTGAAATTAATTTAAGTTATATATGGTATAAAAATGAAGAGTTTCGCTATTGTAGTTTTCACACAATAAAAATATAGTCGGCCCCCTTAATTAATTGTGAAATAAAATTGTAAACATACAATAATCCCCACCCACTGATGTTAGAAACAAAGACAGCTGCATGAGATTTACATGCATATTAGGCCTCCTTAGCGCCTCACCTTTCGCTTGGCGAAATTTGCATTCCAGTTGAATTATAAAGAAATCAACTCATCTAACTTTAAAAGAATTATCACCAAAAAAGATAGAAAATGTAAATATATATGGTGTGAAAAGTCACAAGGTTTTTTCCTCTCCTTATGAAGAAGTTTAAGAATAAATTCTACTTAAGTGGATATAAAATAAAGGATAAAAACTAGTTCTCATATCGGAATTCCATTAAATTTTTTAAATAACTAGTCTCGAAAGAATTGAGAGAAAAACTTTTTGATACTATTGAGGTTTGAAAAGTTTTTTGAGATTTTAAACTTTCCAAAAGTTCTTTGGAGTTTTTAAGATTTACATTTGTTTTTCATATCTTGAATATGTTCTGATGTTTCTGCTTCAAAGAAGTTATTGGAGATTGGTTCACATGTACAATATCTTCCGATTCCGATGAAATCTTTTGTCACCATTTAAACAAAATTTAGAGAAATTCTTTGAAAACAATAATTCTACTACATGTACTAGCGTCGGTGTATTATTATTATTATTTTGTATTAATTCTGCACATCAGTTTAAAATTTTGTTGCATAAATATCACCATGTTATAGTATTGTATTATGAGTGACATACTAGTTTTCTTAAATGAAATTAACGACAGAGAAAGTTGTGCAAGTTAATACTATTAATATTAGATTATTTCTTATAAATTATTAAAGAAATTTAAACAAAAGGGATGGGCGTCATAAAATATTTTGACAAGGTTTTTTTTTATATATATATAAACGAAAAACTACATGTATTTGTTTACAATATATATTATGATGACCAGGGCAGATATATATTAATGATATTTAATGCCCAGAAAAAAATATTTGGAAGAGGTATGAAATAATAATGATTGATGAAAAAAGGATGTTCCTATCTTAAACCTCAGCAAGGTTATTGACAAACCTTCTTGAGGTGATCTCCTGCCAAGCTTTATGTCAGATATGTACAACAAAGCTTTATAAGGTACACACACGATATTGGTAGTTCCAGTTATCAACAATTATTTTGTGCATCATCGTTAAATAGACTTTGTTGTAACGTCTTATCATTTTTAATATTGTAAACAAAGTTATCATTTTTGCAATCAATTTCAAACAAAACTTTTTCCCGAGAGTATACACATTATTATTTAAAAAAATCAATATGTTTATAATGTTCAAATACTGGTAACATTAGAAGCGAAACTTTGAAAATAGATTACCTAAATAGTTTATCATTTATGGGTATTTACGTCAACAGTTTTAAGGTCAATAAATTTCGAACCCTTACCTACTATTTGCATTGTGCTGCTCTGTAATTATTACCGAAGACATGTAGTGGTCTTATTAATGATAATGCTTAAATGACAAATTTACTTTTCTTCAAATCATTATTTTAGTGAAAAGAATTTTTATGTTTGTTTTTAAAATACCGATCAATATTTTCCCCGTTTCTCTGTTGCAGAGGCGAATAAAAAATAGTTTCAAAAAAAAAAACTATTTAAGTCTTAAATTTCAATATTTTCATGTTTCTCACATGATTTTAATGTGAAGAAAATACTTTTCGTGTTGAAGAACAAATCATTTGGATGGTTTTTAAGGCTAAAACAATTCTCAAAACGAATTAAATAATGACTAGATATTTAAAATGTGTTTCTTATTTTTTTTTTAATTAAGCAAAAATAAACTAGGGATTCTACAAAAAATTAGATAATATTCAAACGAAGAACTCTGGCTCAGCAATCGTACAGATTTAAAAGTAATGGGGATCACAGAGTTATGTGTTAGTAGACTAAGGCCTCCAAAGGTTACTATCAAATACCTTGAACAAAATTGATCATGCATCCATCCAATCAATATTACTGACGATATCGATTGTCTTAACTTTGAAAATTTATAATATAGAACCCATGTTCTGAATTTCTTGTGTAAAATTACAGCATAATAATGGAAAGACAGACTTAGATTTCTTAGATTACACCACATTAATGAATATAAAAAATACTTTAATAACCACGTGTAATCTATGATTCAAAGGCGCCAATTTTATTTTTAAACATAATGCATTGTTTAAGGCTTCGACACAGACTAATATCACCAATAATTATTTGCAACCCCCCCCCCCCCAATTTTGTTTCAAAATGTTGTACACAGAAAAGAAACTATAGTTTCTTTCTTTTCATTTAAAGGATTTTATTTTAGTAACGTCATACTGAACATCAATTTCTTACATATATGTAAATAAAAGTACATCTTGTAAACATTAAAAAAGAAATAATAATAATTCTTTAAAAAATTCATGTACAAATTTACAAAAATATTCATTTCTTAAATTTCCTTTTCAAAACAATTTTCTAAAAATAATCCTTTCATATCCAATCCTATATTGAACACATTGTCTGAACCCAACTCAAAAGAAAATAAAATAAAACAAAATATTAGGGATATCGACGAATATTCGAGTACTCGACCATCGTTCGATCATACGGACTATCGACTAAAATTTCTTTAGTCGGTTATTCGTTAAAAATGTGTTTCATCAAAGTAATTTTGAATTCAAGGCAATAAACGTATATTTGCCCATTTCATTCATTTACAGATCAATATTTTCATATGTAAAATTAAGGGTATGGTATAACTTTTCAAAGGAAATTATTTGCACGTCGATGTATGTTCGGCAAACATGTCTTCAAAATCTACAGTTTTGGTATAGTAAAAAACAAAACAAAACAGTGTTATCAAGGTTATGCAGAACTCGTATTCTGCAGTGTAACATCAAACATGATGTATCATATGCCGAATCAGTCAAACATATACACAGTCTTCAAGTGAAATTTTCCTAATAAAAGTAAGTTCTCCGCAAAATGCCGAAAAAAGCAGATTGGGAAAGAAAATCAAACATGTTTATTATGATTGTCTACCTCTTATTACTGTTTTAAATCAATTGTTTAGTTTTGTAGATTCAAACTAAGTTCTGACGTGATACAACTATTCAGAAAGAATATTAATTAAACAGCTAATACAAAATTGTAAATACATGTAAACTGGGCATTTGTTTTCTTTTTCTGATATTAATTTCATACAATCATTGACTGTTTGCACAAAATTTCAGAATTAAAATTTATCCCAAGCTCTTCTTTTCTCTTTGTTTTTATAAGAGACACGCTTTAATTGTTTACCTGTCAAAGGTCATTGACGGACACGAAGAAATTGGCTTCAATTATAGTATAGGGTACATGTACTACCGTTATGTAAAGAAAGGACAAATACGAGGGTTTGATATCCTGCATTTAGATAAAATGTGCAGCTAATATATTAATTTTGAAATTAGATACATATTGATGTACAGTTTTTATGTTTACAATTCAGAAATTTGTTGTATAATGGTGATACCGTAGGTTAAATATTGTAAACTAGTCTGTAAAAGACAAACAGTGAAGTTGATATGAAAAAAATACATGTAATTAAAATTAAACGAATATTCGACTAAAGCATCCGACTATTCGACTAAGCTGTCCGAGTAAAATTGACATCCCTACAAAATATGCTTTTGAAACACGTAAAGGATACAATATGATTACAGTGGGCATGTGTATATTTCAAATATAACTCACCCCGCCATTGTAGGGAATTCAACAAGATCTGGATGATTTGACTTATCTAATTCAGACAGAACGGTATCCGAACCTGCGTATTCAATATCAATGTTCTGGAAAATTGCAGCTTGTCCCTTACTGCTTCCTATGGCATCGTATTGCATCTCAATAGACGCATGTCCTTTCCTATAAGTTGTAAAAGCCGGTTGCCAAACTTTGTAAACCTCATATGGAAAACTGGCGCCCTTCCCACGAATATCTATAGCACTTGTACCACACCATACAATGGTCATTAATGCCAGAATCATATCAACAATTGTCATCTTAATTCACATATTCCAAGACCTCATTGTTCTAAGATTCTCCCATGAATGATAAAAAAATGGTATTTGGCGTTTACAAAGCATGTGCTTCTTTCTAAAGTTACGTCTAATTTGGGTGCATGCTAAAATAAACTATGTTTGTAATGGGTAAATAATAGTTGAAGTGAAGTAGAAACTGTTATATGAGTATCAATACAAGGTTAAATAGAGACAAGTGCACACATGGAAGAGACAGCAGACTGGGTAAACAAAGTCGATCTTAGAAGCATACCCCCGCCATAATCTATATAATAATAGGCTATGAATTCAAATCCTTTCTTCAAAGAGATTACACTGTTAGGATACTAATGAGGCAAATCGTAAGTGAATACAATGAAACATATTTTATGATTGAGCATTAATAAACGAAGGATGTTAGGATTGCTAAGCAAATAAGAAGGAAATGAAAGCTTGTAATTATGGGAAAAATGAAATAGTCGTATTCCTGGCTTATTCTAGAGGAACGAACAGATTATTTGAAATAAATTTAAGCTGAGTGCTTTTTTAATTTTATATTCAAAGGAATTGAAGTAGTGATGATGTGTACAATTTATTAAACTAATTAATAAAATTAGTGATGACATACTAGTAGTTGAAGTAACTGAACAACCTATGAAAATATGGTCTATTTTGTAGTCTTAAAGTATTGCAAGTATTCCTATAAAATTAAAGGAAGTTGAAGTCCACCAAATGTCATAAATCCTTCAAGGGTGACTCAATTCACAAGAAAAAGTGCATATATACATTATCTTTTCAGGATATAGATTTTAAATTCCTTCATCACTATTGCTTTCAAACATCATCAGTTCTTTTAGATTGTTTCCAATCTAATAAAACATCTGTCTGGACAAAAGGATAATGAAATAATTTCTCAAAAAAATAAAATGAACAGTCGTATACTATCGATAAGTAATTTTAAAATAGGGAGACGCGGGAGAAGAGAATAAAATTGAGAATGAGATTATATTCAAAGCGGACAACTATAATTGATTTATAAGGACTTTGAAGGACACGATGATAATATTCATTCGTTCAGAATTTTTAAATATCTACATTTTTTGTTCAAATTAGCTCTTAAGGACAGGTGATACAAACAAAGTATTGTCAAAAAATTGAAAATAACAACCTGAGTAATGTTTTAATGAGTAAAATGAATAGGTTTCACCTCGTAGTTTTTAATTTTTTATTCAAATTTTCACTAAAATTTGATTTTAAGTGAAAAATATTTGTATCGATTAATAAGAATGGATTCAAAGAGGCAGAATTTTTTAACACAGAAGGGTAACATTATTTTTATATTCTAAAAATATATCATTTGCATCAGTTTTAATGAAATTAGGCCAAAAATATACCAATCCAGACATTCATTTTTTGTTTGTATTATCTGTCCTTAAGTGAAATAATCGGTGTGTTTTAACTTTTGTAACGAATTTAAACGAATATATAAAAGAATGTCAGTTTTGCATAACATGGCACTGTCTACAAGGGACGTCCATCACTATATGGTCAATTTCAAATAATTATAGATATACTCAGTAATAGAGAAAATTTTTGCAAGTTTGAAGAAAAATTGGGGGGAAAATAAAGCGAGTTCTGTCAATAAGGAATAAAAATATCAACAAAGATATTGAAAGAAAAACTTCATTAAACTCAATTAACCTTTTTGAATTAATTCTATCAAAATACTTGTAATTTTTTTTTTATCAAAGGCCAACTATATAAAAAATAGACCATTTCGTTATATTGAAATAATCATGGAACAATGTTTTAATACATGGACCCGAAATTAAGGCAATTAATTAAATAACCCATTATAATTTCTTCTTAAAACTTTTTATCTCCTTAAATTGAAAAGTTTTAATTTTTTTTTTAGAATTTTCACAATGCAAGCAAGGAGTTGCTTTTGCTTTGCTCTCTACACTTCTATCAATGTCAAATATCCATACCAAAAAATCCAAACCAAGATTAAATAATAGAATAAAATACTGACAAGTAATAAAATAATATATTCTTACGAAATCTTTACAATAATTCATTGTTTCTCAAACTCAAAGTTTAGTTTCTATGGTAAATGTGAAGCAGTTTTGATTTAAATAACCCCAGATGTCCAATTTTCTCCTTAATTGCTTTTCGTGCCTTAACATAAATCTGTAATTTAATTTGCTGCACCAAAAAATCGACTCCTGACGTAGTTATTACAAAAGATATATAATTATACATTGACTTACAAATAATGATATAATTTTTGTTTAGAAAAAAACCATTTTGTACATGCAGTGCAATTAGATTATGCCAAAATTACTCAGTCTTCAAATATTTGTGAACAGCCTGAAAATGACTTTTATAATCAATTGACTTTTGACTAAAAAAAGGTCAATAACGGGTTTTTGAAAAATAAGTAAGTAATTAGAGTGAGATATAAGATCCATATCCATCTTAAAGCAAAGAAAGTATTCTAATTAATCTTTATAAACTATAGATTTTAAATAATGGATGAATGGCAAATGCGTGATGAAATATTTCACTCTTGCTCAAAATGAAATGACGAAACTTATTATTTTTCTTTATACATTTTACAACTTTATTTTGCGTTCTCTATTTTGAAACCTTTTGTTTCTGAAAATATAACTCATGAAGGTCAATATGAGTTGCATTATTACTTCATACAATATGTTATAATTATAGGGCCTGATATTATTCTATAAAAAAAAATCTATTTTGAAAATCTTTTGATTAAATAAATTATTAAAGATTTAGCAATCACAGGGGCCTTCCTATATTTTTCTTCTAAAATAAAGTTTCTCTATGGAATTTGTTCAAAAATATATATACATGCATTTTCGACTGATGCATAAATCTAATTTAGCAATCGAAAGCTGTCATTAAATCAGATGAATTTGCATATAAATCAAATTTATGTGAAAGAGGAATCACCTCTATATATGTAGTATATTCTTTCAAGATTTTGCATATCATAAATCATGTGTTCATGAATATGAATAACTATTAATGATTATAAACTACAAGAGATAATGTGAATCGTAAAATAAAAATAAAATTTCGATTATTCCCAATTAAGATTCTGCACATAAATCACATGATAGGTATGTGTAAACATATTATGATTAATATATGCTATTTTGAGGTTCAGATTCGATATTCATATTAAATGATAAAGAACTATATTTTAAATAAAAATTCATGTTATATAAAGAGATCAATTTTAAGAATTCGTGCGCTTTGTTCATTACATTTTAGTAGCAACGGACAAAATATATTTAAACTAAAGGCAAAAACCTATTTGGTTAATCTCGACATTGAATGTACCTTATACTCGTTTTTTTTTTCGCGTGTTGGAAATTTTGCGAAGAAGGGGTAGATTAGTACAGTTTATATTTTGCGTGTTATTTTTTACGATTAAAGATTTTTTTGTTTAAAATGGTAATGTTTTTATGTCACATTATTATGGAATGCCATATACGACAGCCAACTGCTTGCTGCCAACTGCTGACTGCTTACTGCCAACTGCCACACATATTTGAATTTTTTTATTTTTATATTGATATTTATATAAATTAATAAAAAAAAAAACGCAGATCTATAGAATATGGAATGCCATATACGACAGCCAACAGCTCACTGCCTTCTGCCAACTGTCAGCTGCTGACTGCCAACTGCTACACATATTTTGATAAATTTTCATATTTATATTGATATTTATATAATTTTTCAAATAACCAGACGCGGATCCAGACATTTTTTTCTCTGGAGGGGTCCACCCAAGTAAAAAAAAAACAACCCAGAATTTCTTCACAAGAAAAAATAAAGTAAACTTCATTCTTAAAATTATTTAAAGACATAGTCATTTTATTACCTGTTTCAAATGAGTTAACAAAAATGTACTTTATCACTTTATCCATTACATAAGTTATAACATACGGGCCATTTAATCCATTTTCGTGATGTTTTCAGCTTGATTTCAGATTTAAAATTCCTAAATTCCTCCAAAGTTTGTTATTACTGTAAGAACTACGCACAGGTACTTGTGGACAGGATCCCCCCCCCCCCCCGATATTCAACCCCAGGGCTTATTGGACATTTTTGTCACAAATTATATTTATTATACTTATTCATCATGTGTACAATATGAAAAATTCGTCAAAACTCCAACAATCGCTCCACAAAAAGAAATACCCCACTATGTATATTGTTTTTTTTTTGTGGAGCGATTGTTGGAGTTTTGACGATTTTTTCATATTATACACATGATGAATAAGTGTAATGTAATTAATATAATTTGTGACAAAAATGTCGGTGTCAAATAAGCCCCAGGGTTGAATATCGAGATTGATAAAGTATATTTTTATTTGCTACCTTATTAGCAATTGGTAATAAAATGGCTACTAGTATTTTCCTGTTTTTAATCTTTAACATACCCCCAGAGACAAAAAGCCTTTGGAAAGATTAAAGCCTTAAAAAAGAGGTTTGTTGTTGTTTCGCGGGGGAGATATTTGGAAAAATAAATTTTCTGTTTATTTTTTCTCAAATTACAAATTAAAGATTTATTTCTCTTTGTTTTTACGGTTAATGAAGATAATAAGTATAGGACCCCCCCCCCCTCCCGCCGAAATATTTTTCACATCATAGTTTAGGAAAGGAGTTTACGGGTTTTTTTTTCTTGTCAAAAAATTTCTGGTTTGATTTTTTTTTTTTACTAGGGTGACCCTCTTGGAAAAAAAAATCCTGGATCCGCGTCTGATTATTTGAAAATTCACATAAATATCAATATAAATATGAAAATTTATTCAAATATGTGTGGCAGCTGGCAGTAAGCAGATGACAGTTGGCAGTAAGCAGTCAGCAGTTGGCAGTAAGCAGTTGGCTGTCGTATATGGCATTCCATAATAGGACATTTTTTCCAAGAGGGTCACTCTGGTAAAAAAAAATCCAACCCAGAAATTTCTTGACAAGAAAAAAATACGTAAAGTCTTTTCCTAAATGTGA